GCCGACCACAATGGCGTGAGATCCACAGTATTCACTATGAACACATGTAATGAAATAGCACAGCGATAACTCCCTGAAGTGCTAGCAGCCCTTCTTCGACTGTACCGAGTTACTTCCCAGTGTCGATACTCGATGTTGAGTGGACAGGATGATTGTTAAGGTGTAAAGATCTGTATAAACCTCCTTGCAAACTACGGGCAGTTGACATATCTTTCTGTGTTTGTTTGTTTGTTTGTGGTCTGTCAATAATGGACATACAAGCAAGTGATTTATATAGTGAGCAACACGCCACACCATCCGGGCACCCTGACCCGCCGTCAACGACGTAACCGTCCGATGATTTTGGTAGTCAGTGATGTATGATCTGTACCTTACAACGGACAAGGCATTCTTGTTGTTTGACGTTTCATAGAAACGCCTCGTACAAGCACTCGTTGCTGGTGAGATAAGTGGTTTACTTTCAGCAGTATTCCCGCAATATCACGGCGAGGGACACCAGAAATGGGCTTCACACATTGTATCCACGTCTTCGGCGTGACGAGCGAACGCTTTAACCACTGGACTACCCCACCATCCCAGTCTAAGTAAACTTAGGCTCAGTATTATTCGTTACACTGCTATACTCAGCATAGCAGTTTTAGTAGTGTACTGAGCCTAAGTTTACTAAGACTGCCCACCTCTCCTATAGCAAAAGGGGATGAGATGTCAACAAGACAACCATCTAGGGAGTCGATTTTCACTGCAACATTTACACCTCAAACAGTTCCTGGGTTGACACCAGCTAGTAGCAGAACCGCACGTACCGGCTGTGGGAGCGCCACATTAGTGCTCGACGTCATGCGATACGTCCACATTCGCTTCCACGTCGAGGTTAGTGTTGACAGTATTTGGGGTTGAGTTGGCAAGACTGGGACAGTAGACGGTCTTTACAAATGAGTCCAAGTTGCATCTGGAGAGCTCTGATGGTTATTCAATGGTAATTCAGGCGTCCAGGACAGCGTTACATCGACGCTTGCGTTACTCAACGTCTTCAGTTTGGACATGGTAGTGCAATGGTATTGGGTGGCATTATAGCTCGTGAAAGAACACAACTCATCGTTGTTAAAGACATTAACGGTGCACGCTCAGCAACTTTAGATCGTATTCTCTCCCCAGGGACGTAACGTCATGTCGCTGACGAATGCCCGCTCACAGGTTGCACGTGTCGTAACATACTTTTGAGGCACCGTAACAAAGCTGGAGAGCCTCGCCGGGTGTTTCTCCACATCTTTCAGCCAATGAATACACCTGCAACGAGAAAGAACAACGCCGACGACAGGACCAAAACCAGCCGGCGAATTAACGTCGCTTCTCAGACCCGAAGCCGACTGAAAACCACTCGGACCCACAGCTTTTGTTTTCTGCAGGTCCTTATGGCCGACAGTTTTTTCATCCCTAATAAATATCATTTCTATATTAAAATATAAGGCCTACACATTCTGATCAGGAGCAAACCTTTTTATAGTTCTGGGTCCTTAGGGCCTGCAGTTTTTCGGGGTTAAGAGCAAACACTGCCAGTCGGTCATATTAGCTCAGTTGGGGCAATCATCAATTTGCACTCAGAACCCACCCAGGGTTTTTAAGTCACCTCGTATCATCAATGCTGCGCCGCTGCTTATCCTGTATCAGCACTAATGGTAGCCACACCTGACACCGACGTTGTTAATTGAGATATTACACCTTTTTAGTGGTTTCTCTCTCCGCCTCTTGCTACCAGGTATGTATTTTGCCAATGAATTCGCTATGACATAAAACTGACCACACGAGTGAGTTATTTTCAATAACATAAAATATACTAGTAAACGGCTTTAAGAACCACTGTTACTTCTTTAACTCTTGTATGTATGAATACGACTAAAATCTGTCACTAAAGCTATATTATAGCTGTTCGGGAAGTGCATCTCCAAAACATGCGCACGAGTAAGTCTAAGCAGGCCGACTTCCTGTTCATTCTTAGTCGTAGTTAGTTAAAAATAAACCATGTTAAAATTCGTTCCTGTTCTAATTAAGAGCTTCCATTATTTAAAAGATTTCAATATGCTTCGATTTTTCAGTGAGCCAAAATGAGGCGGTGGGGGGTGTCTAGTGGTTAAAGCGTTGGCTCGTCACGCCGAAGACCCGGGTTCGAATCCCCACATGGGTACAATGTGTGAAGCCCATTTCTGGTGTCCCCCGCCGTGATGTTGCTGGAATATTGCTAAAAGCGGCGTAAAACCAAACTCAGTCAGTCAGTCAGTCAGTGAGCCAAAATCTAGCCTTACTTAACACATGCCAACCTACCCACCCCTCGTCTATTTAACATTGGTATAGTATTTCCCCAATGACTGAAAGAATGCCATGCAGATCAAGATTTAAACATAAGATCAGCTCCGATACAATGCCAACATCAACGTTACTAATCTAAAACACCATCCTACAGTCCGCTCTTCCCCACTGCCCTGTGTAATAACGAGACACATAAATATCCCCCCTATACACACCTAGTTATCTGCTACACTGTATCGGGTGGAAGAACCGTAGTGTGTGAATATACATTGCGTGAGAGTCTCTCGTTTAACGAGTCGCAAACAGACATCGAACCCAATCTGTAGCAAATCTGAGCCACTTATGTGTCGCTATGCTATTGAGATGGGACCCAGTCTATTGATAGCCAGGTTCTGGAACCGATTGCATGGAGTAATGAGCGCGCACTATTTGAAACGTCATTCAGTTTTACTGTAGGAAGAAACGCCTGATTTGAACAGACTGACCCTTGATTCTTCTTAAAGGCGCACTGCTGAAGGTATACTGTGACCTGTAATGTCACATGCTTTATATATGGAATCTGTGAATGGGATAAGTGTACTTAAAGACACGGTGTTGCGGGGGGGATATTGGGCAGTGAGGGAAGCAGACTGCAAAACGTTATCGACCAGACCATCAGTGTACTGACTCGATAACAAGTTTAGAGAGGCTAGCTTTAGGGACCCCTTCCCTTTGTTGGCATATTTTAAAAACATTTTTATGTACAAAATTGCTGACTGCCCCTAGTCAATGTGTACAAGATTTATGACTCGTCCCCCTCCCTCGAACAAAATGAGTGACCCCCCTTAAAAACATCATCACACACGCACGCACGCATGCACATGCACGCACACGGACTCACACGCACACACACCGAACCATAAATTATGAACGGTCCCTCAGATTATGGTCCAGTCCTTCATGCTTAAAATATGATACAGTAAACAACTCCACTTGTACCATGTAGACGGTTTTGTCAACATATAATCATCTCATTATGCTTGGACAGCAGACCGGAGGTTGGACAGCCTATGAAATTATTCTTTCTTCTTATGGAACCTAGGGTTCGAATCCAGCCTGTGTGACCATTATCACAAACAATGACTATAATGTCATGGTAGTTCCATTTGTGTCACATAAGCTCAAACACCCATTCATGCCACTCAAAGGAACTGGCTGATTGGTGAAGATAATACATATCTGATTTAAGTCACCATAGTAAAATGATCGACATATCTGATGTATCGACACATCCCTTTTCCACTATCGCCTCTGCTACATAATTATGTCAAACACGAATCCTTCTGCTTAAAGGAAACCAAATACCTTGCACTGTGATCTCAGTGATCTATAAAACATTTCAACATATCCGAGATATCGACACATCCGATTACTACTCACGTCACAGATATGCGTGCAAGTCACGGCTTCTTCTGTTTAAAGGCGCACAAATACCATGCCATCTGATTCAAGTTACAAGTAAACACGGGGGGAACATCTGACTTGGATATCGTGGAATTATTTAGTGAATAATTTCTAAACAATGATGTAAAGCAATTTCAGCAACATTTCAAGATTGCTCAAATTTATCATTTCTTTCATATGATCATCAATGTCCCTTTGATACACAAATATGTCACAGCCACACAGTCCCTTTAAAGTTACACGCATGGTTTGTTCCGCTTGTCTCGAACTGAACTCACCCAGGCAAGTTTTACCCAAGATACTAGATGCGACCAAGCACCTGCTATGTTAATTACGGTAAGATATATTTACATTTCGATTATTCTAACATTTCTCTCTACCTCTCTGCATATGTTGAACCGGCCTCGCCACACAACACGATTGCCCCTGTTTCCTAATAAGTCAATACCCATGCACATTTAAGTAACTAATAGGGTCTTTCACTGCTCGGATTTGTTATGCGGATTATCCCTGTTGGATTAAATTGATTCCTTTTGTTGTCGAACCAGGTGAATGTCAGGTATAACACAACGTTATATGAAGCACACTTAGCTTTTACCTACATGGCCATTAAGAGGCGATTATATGTCCGTAATATTTTCTCGGTCATGCCATAGCAGTTAATATACAAAGTACTTCACGTTCGTTTGTAGGTAGATTAGGGCTTATGCCCGTAGCATACTAGTCGATAAAGCACCGAAGTGAGTTTGTAAGTTGCTTGTAATTAACGTTATCGAACACACGACGTCTAAGTATAGAGCCTTGACGAACTCCAGTCGGAATATAATGACGGGGGCTCTATAGGAGTGCCATACTTATTACCTGACACAAGATTCCATGTCGAGATGACAAAATGTCTGGCTACTGCAATGACATGACTGACAGGATATACTAAGGTATATGTGTCAATATTTAGCTGTCAGTCTATAAACTGGCACGTCGAGAAAGCTTAATTTGTTAGACCTGGGGTTAAGAATGAAACCCCCCAACAGCCATTGGACTTCGGTAGAGCCACACTGGATTGTTGCCATTGAAGATAAAAAGCTGGAACTGTTTTAAATCAGTTTCGTGTTTACACTGAAGCTGAGGGATTTGGCATCTCTGATCAAATTGTGACGTCATCGTGGACAGTGTGTGGAATTAACATCCAAGGTGACATTCTGTGCTTGCTATTAGCATGTTAGTATCAAACTGAAATACAACTGGATACAAATATGACGACAGCACCACCAATACTCCGGCAGGTATGTGACATGTAAACACTTGTAACATTTGACAGTTTTAAAGATTTTTTAGATGTTTTCATTCTTTTATTCTTCCACCAATTTCCTTTTTCGTCAATGATTTGTTCATTTATGGAATCCACATGTGTTGCATTCATTCATTCATCATTCGCACTATCAATAGGTCAATTCATTTCTTTTCCGTTTAATCAAATTCTTCGTACATGCTTCATTCGGTCGCCCGTGTATGCCTTTAACGTTCGTTCGGAAAAAAACTTGAGAACATTAATTTATAATTACAAATTGGTTTTCTGGATGACTTCTGACTAATACAGTGAAAACAAATGTTTGACTCCTTAATTCAAATACAGAAATTCTCTATGTAACGTTAAGTTATATATTGTATATTTCCTCTCAGATTTAACTGGTACCTATAACTTGAGATCATGAATTCAAACAGTTGTTTTGTGTCAGGATAGGGGTAGCCTAATGGTTAAAGAGTCCGCTTGTCACGCTGAAAACCAGGGTTCGATTCCCCACATGGGTACAATGTGTGAAGTCCATTTCGGGTGTGCATCTCGTACATTTGCAAATATTATACAGTAACTGTTTATTATTTATATATAGATTGAACTATGATTAACACGTTGGAGATAATAATACTGTATTAGCTGGTGAATCGGTTTGTAGTTTCTCTATACATGAGTCTACACTACCAGTTGTCCGACTTCCATTTGTGGAAGTTGCGATGGCTGAGTGGGTTAGACGGCTGACTTTGTGTGCTGGCGATTTGGTGCCTGACTGAGGGCGTGGGTTCGAATCCCGGATGGGACTCAACCCAACAAAAGTACTAGAGTCTGTACTTTACCAAGTTGTGTACAGACAGGAATATATTTTTATTCATCCAATCTTTTAGGGTAGGGTCAGCGAATAAGATTGTGTGCAGTGTTGTTTGTCCTCCAAGTTTATCAATATCTGATGATAGTGACTTCCAAAAGTCATCAGATTAACGTACATTAAAAAAAAGAGATGGAATGAATTTTCGCATTTGGCACATTTAGAGGCAAAAACAGTGATTGACATCTTGAGCATACAGAGGCATTCCCAAAAGCATCAACACTACACAGCCAGTTTTGGTTTTCTTTGTTCGCCTTTTTTATCGCCGCACTCAGCAATATTCACTGCTATACGGCGGCGGTCTGTAAATTCTCGAGTCTGGACTAAAAAATCCAATGATTGACATTTTGAGCATCGTACTATTCAATTGGGAACCGATGACATGTGTCTACCAAGTCAGCGAGCCTGACCACCCGTTCCCGTTAGTCGCCTCTTACGACAATCATGGGTTGCCATGGAACAATTCTAAACCGGATCTTCACATATACGTATGTTCTTTGATGGTCTGAGGGACGCAACTCAGCACACCTTTTCTCCTTGATGATGATGATGATGATGATGATGATGACGACGATAATCATACCTCACTTTGTATTTCAACATAGAACACTCTTTAAATGGCACAGTAAATGCACAGAATAGCAACGTCTAAAAAAGACCGCTCACAATAATTGCCAGGCATTTACGTCATCGAACAATTAGTGTCCAGACGATTGATCAGAAAGCCTGGCTATCTGTTTTGCTACAAGCAAATGCACTTTACAACAAGAAACAAAAACACACATAATAGGGATCTTATTATCTACTACACACTTGAATGCCCCCTCATAGGTTGTCGTTATACAAGGCCTACACATGCAACACACTGCCACATGCTATCTTAAAGTAGATCTCTGTTATATTTTTACCCGACAGCCACACGTTCAAAGGGTTAGCAGCGGGCGATCCTCTGCTCACACCCGCAGCAGCCAGAGGGCCTGCCACGAGGATATACAGGCACCTGGATCCACCCCGTGTGCCTCCACCCCCTCACAACCCGCCCCTACCCCCTCTCAACACGGCCGCACCCCCGTCGGATCAAGGCCGGTTAGTCTGGACAGTAAGAAAGCACCCCCAAGCATGCCCGGCGATGAAGTGGATGACGATTTGGAAACTGAACTCGATTTGAACGGTAAGTAGAACACTTAAACCCTGTTAATCCAGAAACTTCGCTTTCTGGACAACTACCGTTGTCTCCCCGACACAAAAGATGTAAAAGTAAACCCCGTTTATCCGGAATTGCGTCTCTACTTGTTTAGTACAGTCTATGATTGTACTGTCTGTTTTAACGGGGGTTCAGTTTATGTTTCTGTGTGTGTTGGGGAAGGTTTGCGGTAATCCCCTTCACGCTGTGAAGTGTAAGGAGATCTGAGTGTCTCCTGTGGTTAATAACTGTCTCTGCCACTGGGAATCGATGAACCCTACATCGAAGTCCACACGCATTCAACGGAAGTCGTGCATACTTTGTCACTTGAGTGAGTGAGTGAGTTTAGTTTTACGCCGCACCCAGCAATATTCCAGCTATATAGCGGCGGTGTGTAAATAATCGAGTCTGGACCAGACAATCCAGTGATCAACATCATGAGCATCGATCTGCACAATTGGGAACAGATGACATGTGTCCACCAAGTCAGCGAGCCTGACCACCCGATCCCGTTAGTCGCGTCTTACGACAGGCATTGGTTACTGAAGATCAATATTCTAACCCGGATCTTCACGGGTATTGTCACTTGAAGTTTTATTTCATCAAAAACTATCACTGTACATTTAACTGTTTTTATAGATATATAAAATGTTATTCCAAATGGGGGCGGTGGGGTAGCCTAGAGGTTGAAGCGTTCGCTGAGGACCGGGTTCGATTCCCCACATGGGTTCAATGTGAGAAGTCCATTTCTGGAGTCCCCCGCCTTGATAATGGTGGAATATTGCTATGTAAATCTAAACTAACTCACTATTCAAATTGGCGATTTATATAAATACATCAAAATACATATCAAAGAATGGACCTTTAGGTTTCTGTTTCAGAATCTATTTCATGATACGATATAATTAAACTTTATTTCTATAACAACCGAGACTGAAATATATTTCTGTGTGTTATAATGTCCCATGTCGATAGTGAGTGTTCACCAGTGTCCCCCAACCATTGCGTTATAACGAGGGTAATAATCAAGACTAGACCGTTAAAGATGTCTAAGTGACAACAGCAGGCTTTGTCCTGTATACACGCACATGGTACCTGCACTGTAGATATACCCCTTTAGATAGGTATATACTACTCAACAGAACCTAAGGACCGCTCGATTTATTCAAGATGTATTAGATAATCCATGGGATGACATATTAACTAATCGAGCGACACCACACATTAGTGAGTTTGGTTTTACGCTGCTTTTAGCAATATTCCAGCAATATAACGGCGGGGGACACCAGAAAAACGGGCTTCACACATTGTACCGATCTGGGGAATCGATACAGTAATATGAACGAATCGAATGGCACGACACATTAGCTATAGTAATATAAACTAAGAAGTAATTTTCGATAGAAACTGTTTGTGAAGGATGTTATTACCACTTTACCAGGTGTCTGGTTGTCTAATCTGTTGCGCAGAGTTGCTTCCCTTATGCGCGACAGAATTCTATGGCCATTGTTTCGAATTCGAATTTACTTTGATCATGGATCCCATACCCGAATCCAGATCTGATATAATCTTTTAAGATTGCACTTTCCCTTGTAGAGAAGCACCACAGCTATGACGACACAGGGACACGGACCTATGAGCGAGCTTGTCGTAAACTGGGCATTATTCCTTCTTCAAACTGCGTCAAAAAGCTTGGCCGGGCGACGGAGATCCTCGACCTCCAGTATTACGGAATGGGGTCCCGTGGAGCGATGGCTGTTTCCATGGCACTCGTCGTAAGTGTGGCCTTGTGATTATACTCTATTTCATTCATCCATTGGTCTGAAATGGAGTGACTCCTTGGTGTTTTAAGAAGTATTTGACAGGGGCGTAGGAACAGTTTTCAGAGCAGGGGGTGGGGTGGGGTGGCGGCTAATTTATGATAAGTATTGAAAATCAAAATGAAATTGTAGTTATGGTAAGGTAGATATGGTTTCGTCTTGAAAAAAATGTCCCCCCCTCCCCTACGTTGTGTACTCCTCTGTCAAGTGTAAGTTGGCAAGTCCTATGGTTCGAATCACGGATAGGACTCAAGCAAATTGCATTATAGTGTTTGCCTAGTCGTCTACATTCGCTGTGCCGATAGTGTTGTGGGCGTTGGATATTTGTTGTTCGAATCTCATATTCCTCCCAAATAAGTAGTAATCATCTAACACCTGCATTGCTTCGGGATTTCCTCCCACATTAAGCAGACACGCCGTAATATAACTGGAATACTGTTCACAGCGGCGTGAAACCCACTCACTCCCTACTCTAGGTCTGTTATGACCATTATGGTTCTGGCTTGTTTCACCCCATGACGTAACTGAAATACTGCTAGATGCGTTATTCCCAATTCACTCACTAACTCAAGGTATGTATTTTAAATCAGATAAACGACCGGATATCAAGCGTCAACATGAGCGGTAACGACATGGGACCGATGGGGATGATGTACATACAGCGGATGATGCAAGAAAACAACAATATTGTGGAACTGGTAAGCTAACATTCAGCATCACTCGTTACTTTTCGTAAACTACCACGAGTGATTGCTAGCTGATACAACCTAATTAGTAGTGTGTCTGTTCTTGTTGTATATCATCTTTCACTTTAAATCCTACGAAGCTATACTCGCAGTTATGTTTTATTCAAATATTTATTCAAATATTCATTTATTGATTCGTAGCATGAGGTGTCGAAATTCATCTGCCATTGAGTTAAACCAGAAGTCAAGAAGATATAATATACCAACAAACAAAAACAACCCAGATATTGTATGTCCTGGTTTTTAACAAGTATTCACGTAGAGATGTAATGTATGTTCCATTATGCTACAACTCTAATTTCAACAAACAGGACATTGCAAATGCATGATTAACTTGGTTCTACACAAGTAGGACCTCACAGAAGATTTGTGACGAATGTTCGTCACAGTTAGGAAAATATAGCGTAAGAGATGATAGTGTTACGCCGCATTTAGCAATATTCCCGCAATATCACTGCGGAGCACAACAGAAATGGGCTTCTCACATTGTACCCATGAGGGGAATCGAACGCTTTAAGCCCGGGTTATACAGAGATATTTATGGGTCTCTGGTACCTGCAGAATGTCTCCGAGAACAACCTTGGAACCGAAGGTGCCCAACATCTTGGGGAGCTACTGCGGGTGAACAAGGTGATCCGACATCTCAACGCTTCAGGTAGGTGTTTTCTGGGTGTCCTACCTCTCAACCCTGGCACACGTAACTTTCAAGTGTCAGGTATAGTCTCTACCTGTCTTCAGGAGGTAACTGCCAGTGGAACACACAGTTTCCCAGAAATTATTGAGAAAATCTTTGTTTCCTAATACTGATAAAAGAATTATATTAAATAGGTGCTACATTATGTAGTAAGGTACTCAATATGGGAGGCAACTCTTGTAGGCTTAAGAATGAACCTCACTACATCAAGAGTTATCTACCCTGGTATAGCAGACGGCTTCCTTTGTTGACCTGGCAGATTTGACAGAAGATAAACGAAGGCTGGTTCTAGATGATTTTGAAAGGGATGTGATTAATAGAAAAGAGTTTAGCTGGAAGCCATAACATTTCTCTGTCTACAGTATACAGAACTTTAAATATTCAGTCAGGAGTTGGGATTGAGCACAAGACAGGGGCAGGGAGGCCAAGGAAGTTCAGTACTACGGATCGCGGGCGACGTGGTCAGATTGTGAGTGGGGTAAAACTGGAAAGCGTTGAGAATATCAGAAATGAGATGAGTAATAGAGGAATTCCTCAGTATGTAATGAAACCCTCAGACAAGAATTACAAAGCGTTAACTGGGAGAAAAAGCGCGAAATTCCCTCACCATTGATGAAAGATGCAAAAGAGAAAGACGTTTTAACTGCGGTGTAGGGCCCACGAAGATCAAGACTGGGATAATGTTTTTTTGTCTGATGAAGGTTGTGTCTGGCTTTTCCCAAACTGTGTGAAAATCTGGAAATTTCACATGTGGGGTGGGAGATCATCCCGTGGAGTGACGCTGTTGTGTATTTTCACTGGAAATCTGACGAAGGAACGACATGTTGACATCTTAAATAATCACCTTCTTCCAACGGCCTGAACACTGTATGAAGATAATATTGGATTTTCCAACATTATATAACGACCCAAAACACACTGCGGTCTACACAAAACAGTGCTTGTGGGACGAAAATGTTCAAGCTGTTCACTGGCCCAGCTACAGCCTAGATCTTAACCCTAGTGGCAATGTGTGGGGACTAATGAAGGACAGAATAAACCAAAAAGGACTTAGAAATATTGAGGATATGAAGAAAGAAGTAGTGGAATATTAGGATACACTGTCACACGATTTCCTACAAACTTGGATCGGTAGTGTACCTTGGCGCATTCAGTCGTGTATTGCACAAAGTACTGAAAAGACACTTAGACTGTCAGAAAATCATATCTCAACATATTCATTTAAATATAGCTTCTATAGTTTATATACATGTATTAGATATTTGCCGAAAAAACTTCTCTCAATAATTCCTGAAACCATATCAGTTTGTGGAAATTAGAATCAACGATGCTTTTGGTCATGGGGTTCTGTTGATAAGAGGACACGTGACCCAGCCAGTAGTAAGTACCATCATGTGATATCAATTGAGTTTTCAAACGTTAAATATGTACCTGTTTGACTGCAATTTGATTTGCGGAATCTATTGAACCTCGATCTGGTGGGACGAATATTTATTATGTCGTTAAAGGGCTGAAATTGTACACTTCCCACTAAAATTGTAACTTTCCTCACTTGTTTGTTCTGTATTAGCACACAAAATTCCATTATTTTCAGGAAACGATTTTACAGACTCTGATGCACAACTCATAGCTAAACCCGTGGAGGTAGGAAACAATATGTTAAGGCTAGATTTCTATATAACTCGAAGTTCATGTGACCATGAACAATGTATTATTCGTATTCGAGATAAGTAGAGTTTAAATATTTGACAATGGTTTCAATAAGACTTACAGCGGGACCTGTAGTTTGATTCTACAGTGAGTCAGTGAGTGATTGAGTGAGTTTTGATTAGCGCTGTTTTGACCAGTGTTCCATTAAATCACAGCCTGTCAGCTTCATGTGAGTGAGTTAAGTGTTTTAACAATATTCCAGCAATATCACGGCGGGGGACACCAGAAATGGGTTTCACACATTGTACCCATGTGGAGAATCGAACCCGGGTCTTCGGCGTGACGAACGAACGCTTTAACCACTAGGCTACGCCACCGCCCCCAGCTTCTGCTGTCATTTACCACCTTGGTTAAACCCAGTGGCACGGAAGCACTGTTGACAAACCTAGAAACGGAATGAAGTCGAAAAGGGAATGTTTTACCTTAGCATAGTTAATGTTGTCTACTGTACAGGCACACACAGGGCTTCTCCGTCTCAACCTCAGCCACAACTCTTTCGGAGATGCAGCTGCTGAGGCTTTACAACAGATGATAGGTGAGTTCCTCTTCCTGGCGTGCCCAAGGGACGCAACTCTACAGAGCTAAATATATTTCTTTAAAGCAAAGACGAGTAACACAATAGCGTGACACATGAATATATGTGCTAGAACAGGTCTAGAACACTCATACCTGTGAGTGGATGAAGTTTTATGCTGCTTTGAGCAATATTCCAGCAATATATCAATAGGTTATTTCAAACACACATACCATGTTTCTTAACTTGGGAAATATATTCGATGTAGCAAAGTTTGGAAATGTCTTGAAATATGGGTTTTTTGCTTTAAAAGGAAGGCCTTTCCATGTTCCTTCCAAGCGTTGAAATAATTCTTTTGGTTACTGTGTATTGAACAAGATTAAATATTCAAAAACTATTTCACCTATTCCAGCTGAAAACAGTTCCCTGCAAGAACTAGACCTCAGCTGGAATCACTTCCGGGGCGCCGGGGCGATTCAGTTAGCTCAAGGATTGTCGGTTGGTAGAATATATTTTCCATCACCCAAATTCTGGCCATTTTAGCAGAAATTCTTTTTAGTGAGTGAGTGAGTTTGGTTTTACGCCGCTTTTAGCAATATTCCAGCAACACCAAAATGGGCTTCACCCATTAATTATTTTTAGGAAATTAAGCAAATAGTTTTAGGTATTACATTAACACAAGTAATATTAATGCATTCCAGTCATTAAACCTGGTGCTTGTCGCAAAAACCAATTCGGAGGAATCGGGTACTTACAATATCCAGACCCGTGAAGATCCGGGTCATCAACCCATGATTGTCGTAAGAGGCGGCCAACAGGATCGGGTGGTCCGGATCGCGGACGTGGTTGACACATGACATCGTATTCCGATTGCGTAGATCTATGTTTATGATGTTGATCACTGGATTTTCGGGTCAGACTTAATTATCCTACAAACCGCCGCCATATAGCTGGCATATCGCTGAGTGCGGCGTTAAACAACAAGTAAACAAACAAAGTATAATAATGTAACCTGGCTGATTTTGTGTCATTTCATAACGACTATGATCGTTGTTCATCGTATCAACCACTAGTACAGCTGGGCAAGAGTACACACGATCGTAATAAAGCTTGAATACTTACCGTAAAACAACATTCGTTCATCTTTCCATTTGTTTCCCGATCCCAGGAGAACGTCAACATCAAAGTGTTCAACGTGTCCTGGAACGGCTTCGACGACGACGGTGCCGTAGCGCTGGCGTCGTGTTTGAAGAACAACTCCGTTGTGGTCGACCTGGACGTGGCTTGCAACAGGGTTGGACAAATCGGGGTCTTGGAGCTCGTCTCAGCGTTAAAGGTCAACGACACTCTGGAAACACTACGGGTAATGAAACACTAGGGGTTGCATGGGGCAGGGTTTAGTTGGGGTGATGATGGAGACATTTGTTTGGATTATTACCAAAATAAATACAAATACAGGAATAATGGAAAACGATATTTTGCCCTCACAAAATAAGATAACTTGTTCGCTGAATATGGTGGTTGTAAGGGAATATGTTTTGTTATGTATCAGTCAGTACAAACGCTCTCGTGTCACTGGATTGTCTGATCCATCATGTGATTGTCAGGTCTATCTCGTTCGTTCACATCTGCTATCTTACGGTAGGATTGCGCGGCGTCAAGACACAAACAGTTACTGTTTATGACTGACTGAGTTTGGTTTTACGCCGCTTTTAGCAATATTCCAGCAACATCACGGCGGGGACACCAGAAATGGGCTTCACACATTGTGCCCATGTGGGGATTCGAACCCGGATCTTCGGCGTGACGAGCCAACGCTTTAACCATTAGGCTACCCCACCGCCCCAGTTACTGTTTATGCTCATTGTTATATTATGAGTGAAGGTGCTACTGCTAGGGCAGAAAATGTTAACCCTTTTGCGAGCATCTGGTGTCATCATTGACATTCGGTGAACTATCTATATTACCTCAGTGCAAATTTGCTTCTTACGCCGAATGCAGTTTGGATAATCTAGACTGATTATATGTTCCTTTAACCGACAAGAATCAGTGACAAGTATATTCGGTCTTTAACCATCTACTGTGCTAACACGGTCGTGTATGGTATCTACACGATAACGTATGACTTAAATACGTCTTGTGTGCCATTAAGCCGCTCATGTGTCTTGTATAAACACCCAAGTTTGGCGCCTACACGTGTGGCGCATAGAATCTATGTCGAAACGTCGCCTATACAGAATAGAGAAGTTGTATATCCATAAAAATAGTACTCATTCTCCCACTACCCAACTTCTAGAATGTCAAACAAAGAAGTGTTATATCCACTGATTTCAGATAGGTAAGAATAACATCTCAGACGAGTGTGCAGGAGCAGCTGTGGAAATTCTGAAGAGGACGGACACCATGAAACTGACCAAACTGGACATGTCGGTGTGTACAGGTCACATGGTTTAATTATTTCCGGGGTATTTTTAACAGGTCTTATGGATAAGTTAACTGAGCCGTGTAGTATTAATGCATGTGTTACAGATATGTGTCCAAGGTATCTTTATGTAAAATGAAATGTGACATACAAATACAAAAATGAAATTACCCTGAGTGGTGATGTGGACACATGCAACACTTCGAGCCTTTCACAACAAATGAGTGAGTGAGGGAGGGAGTTTAGTTTTACGCCACTTTTAGCAGTATACCAGCAATATCGCGGTAGGGGACACCAGAAACATGCATCACACATTGTTCCCAAGTGGGAATCGAACCCGGGCCTGCGGCGCGACGAACGAACGCTTTAACCACTAGGCTACCTCACCGCCCTCCACAACAAAAAGCTGACACTCCATATAACTGGAATATCGAAAAAAGCAGAGTTAAACTCAACCCACTCACTCCTCCGGCCGGCTATGAAGGGTGTTGACCCCCAGCTCACTGGGGCTCCTACCCGTGAAGATCCAGGCTAGAATTGATCTTCAGAAACCCATGCTTGTAAGAGGCGACTAAGGGGATCGGGTGGTCAGGCTCGCTGACCTGGTTGACACATGTCATATTGTATCCCAATTACGTAGATTGATGCTCATGATGTCAATCACCGGATTGTCTGGTCCAGACTTAATTATTTACAGACCGACAGAATATAGCTGGAATATTGCTGAGTGCGACGTAAAACTAAACTCACTTATGGTGTTGATTCGAACCCCTCCATTTGAGATAAGACCGCCTCCGTGGTGTAGTGGTTAGAGCGTCCGCCCGGAGAGCGGAAGGTCGCGGGTTCGATCCCTGACCGCGTCATACCAAAAGACTTTAAAATATGGTACTTGTTGGTCCCTGCCTGGCGTTCGGCATTAATGGGTACAACAAGGACTGGTAGGCTCGGAGTCAGTATAATGTGTCTGAGTGGGGAATTCATGCTTCACTGCGGCATGGTATCTCAGTGAGCTAGCACTATAAAAACCATCTTAAGTCTGGGCTAGTACAAGCAGCCGCACATACACATACACACGCATGCACGTCGTCATATGAGCGAAATATTCTCAAGCACGATGTTAAACCCAATTTCACCTCATCTCACCTCCATTTCAGATAAAACGTTCGAACATCACTTTTACCTTTTTCAAAGCATTTCTTCTGCGACAGGATGTGAGCCTGAATACCAGGTTCGCCTAACACACACACATCACCGGCTGGCTGTGAATGGTGTAAATTCGAACGCTTAATTAGAGATAAAAGTGAGTGAGTGAGTGAGTTGGGTTTTACGCCGCTTTTAACAATATTCCAGCAATGCCAGAAATATGCTTCACACATTGTACCCATGTGGGGAATCGAACCCGGGCCTTCGGCGTGACGAGTATTCATGCTTCACTGCGGCATGGTATCTCAGTGAGCTAGCACTATGCAAAACATTAAAAGTCTGGGCTAGTACAAGCAGCCGCACATACATATACACACGCATGCACGTCGTCATATGAGCGAAATATTCTCAAGCACGATGTTAAACCCAATTTCACCTCATCTCACCTCCATTTCAGATAAAACGTTCGAACATCACTTTTACCTTTTTCAAAGCATTTCTTCTGCGACAGGATGTGAGCCTGAATACCAGGTTCGCTTAACACACACACATCACCGGCTGGCTGTGAATGGTGTAAATTCGAACGCTTAATTAGAGATAAAAGTGAGTGAGTGAGTGAGTTGGGTTTTACGCCGCTTTTAACAATATTCCAGCAATGTCACAGCAATGCCAGAAATATGCTTCACACATTGTACCCATGTGGGGAATCGAACCCGGGCCTTCGGCGTGACGAGCCAACGCTTTAACCACTAGGCTACCCCACCGCCCTAGAAATACAACGTTGAACATCACTCACACCTATTCCAACACATTTCTTTTCCGGCAGGATGTGATCCTGAGCTCTAGATTCGCCGACCTCGTGTCCGACCTGTACGACGTGCACCCCGAGTTAGACATTGTCTATGGCTACACCGACTCCTACGGCAAGCGCAAGATGAAGGGGTACGACGTAGTGGAGGAAGCCATGCACGTGATCAGCACGTACCTCAAAGAAAAGGACATCACCATTGTGGAGTTGTTCAGCCGTTTCGACGCCGACGGGAGCATGAGCGTCACGCACGAGGAGTTTAAGGAGGGACTCAAGGTCAGTTTTAAGATGGGTGAGAATGGTGAGTGAATACGCTGTTTTTACCAATGTCCCTGCAATGTCAGGACGGGGGACACCATATGACAACAGGAATATAGAACAAATTTTATGGATAAGAACTTCTTTATTTCGTAAGTGCGACGTATCGTATCAGTTGTTATCCATAAAATCTGTTCAGTAGTGTACGTCTCAACGTCTTCTAAAATGCCACTCAAACAAGAAATGATCACAAGAATTAGAAATAATTAACATCGAGAAATATAAAACAAGTGAGTCTAGGCTTTTGCCGCTTTTAGCAATATTCCAGCAAAATCACGACGGGGGACACAGAAATGGGCTTCACAGAGTATATCTATGTTGGGAATCGAACCCCCTCTTCAGCGTGAGGGACGAACGCTTTAACCACTAGGCTACCCCACTGCCCCTTATGTTCTAAACATATATAGCATACTTCTAACATGTTAGTCATATCACATGACATGTAAACTGCTTGAAATCGACGTTTTCATAATACATCTTTCACGTTTGATCTTGCTGATTACACAAACTGTTTTATATTTTTCGGTTATTTCCACGCTATCTTTCAGCGTGCCAAAAATCATCCGTTTAGGATATTGATGACTTTGCTATTTGCGTTAGCTCCGTCCGCGGTCCGTCAACCGCTACACTGTCAACTAAACGGTATGTCTTTATTATTTCATTTTCCTTTATGGGTGTTACGTGAAATATTACCTAAAATTATTTGACTTGTTATCTGAACTACCAGTCATTCTCGGAAAATTTCACACACACTGTCATTTAGAATGTGAATAATTGATACATGTTTTTAGACAGAATGTGATTCGTTTAACGCTATATCACCTAATTTGAAAGCAGCTTCACAGGAGTTACCTCCTAGTTCATCGTAAAAAGCAATGAGAACATTATCCTATTTTCAAGTTCCTCAAACTGGGCCTCCATTCACATGGATAAGTCGGTTATTTTGTCACGCGACTGTATTCTACAGAAAGGACAGAATATGACGCTATATAATATTCATTGTACCAAATTCACCATATAAGTTATAAGGACCCAGTTGTTAAAGTAATTATTACACCCTTGTTTAAGTAAACTACACGTCATTGTTACTTGACTCCTAGGCAGTCAGAAGTTATCTCTCATTTCAAGCTCAGCATGTACTCTGCTGTTGCTGATGTATTGTAGGGCTGTCGCTGACAGTCCAACTATTCCCATTTATAGGTTAGCCCAGGATTTTATAAATACAAGCTTTCCTTTTGTGCGGCCTCATAAAACAGCGCAGAGGGTCAAGGGTTTGTCAAATAATGTATGCAAAATGTGTAAGGGGTTATGCCTTAAGGGACCGTTCATAATTTATGGCTAGGGGTTTCATGATGATTTGGGGATGGGGATGGGGATGGGGGGTCACATTTGGTTCTGGGGAGGTGGGAGAGGGGTCAGCAATTTTGTACACATGTACTTGGGGGATCAGCAATTTTGTCATAAAAATGTAAAAAATTATGCTTATAAATTATGGGAAGAAGGAGGTGGGTCATTGATTTTGTACATGATATGCAAAGAGGGGGGGTGTCACTTATTTTGTACGTAAATTTTAGGGAGGCGGTCATTCACATTGTACATGCTTCTGCGTAGAAATCATAAAAAAGAAAACCCACCCCATCCCCCCTGCCATAAATTTTGAAAGGTCCTAAGGTCACTGTTACATATACTGGTCCAGTTTTCCGATTTCGACACAAGTATTATTTATTTAATAAATAATATTTCACGTCAAAATATCTCTTCTGTTGAACTTCTGTGAAATGATTTACCTTTTGATCAAATCATTGGCGGATTTATTTTCCAAATCGCATGCATTGCATACGGTTTGTGAAATGGTGGCACTGATGAAAATAAGATGCAGCAAAGGGAGGTAACTCCTGTAGAGTTGCTTTTATATTAGTTCGCTATAGCGTTAAATGAATCACATTATGTCTCAAAACATGTATCAATTATTCACATTTTAAATTATATTGTGCGTGAAATTTTCCGAGATAACTGTTAATAATTGAGGAAACAAATCAAATAATTTTAGAGAATATTTCACGTAACACCCATAACGGAAAATGAAGTAATAAAGACATGTCGTTTAGTTGATGGTTTAAAGGTCGACGGATCGCGGACGGAGCTATAATGCAAATAGCAAAGTCATCAATATCCTTAAACGGACTATTTTTGCCACGCTGGGTCATAGCGTGAATTTAACAGAAAAATAGATCATGAGATGAGCGACATCAAACGTAATAACCACGACAATGCCGGGTTTAATGCAGTTTACCTGCCAAGAGAAATGACGAACATGTACTAGGGAGGTCAGCAATTTTGTACATAAAAATGTTAAAAAATTATGCTTAAAAATTATAGGTGGGGTGTGTGTGATTTTGTACATGGTTTGCAAGGAGGGCTCACTTACTTTGTACGTAAATTTTAGGAGTGTGTGTCATTCACATAGTACATGCTTCTGCATAAAAAATCCTCTCTCTCTCTCTCTCTCTCTCTCTCTCTCTCTTCTCTCTCTCTCTCTCTCTCTCTCTCTCTCTCTCTCTCTCTCTCTCTCTCTCTCTCTCTCTCTCTCTCTCTCTCTCTCTCTCTCTCTCTCTCTCTCAGAGACAACAAACTTGCCATAAATTATGAACGGCCCCCTAAGGTCATTGTTACTGTTACATAATACTGGTCCAGTTTTCCGATTTCGACACAAGTATCATTTATTTAATATTTCACGTCAAAATATCTCTAATTTACCTCTTCATCTAATCATTGGCGGATTTTTTCGGTTTTCAAATCGCATGCATTGGATACGGTCTTTGAAACGGTGACACTGATGAAAATAGGCTACAACAAAGGGGGGTAACTCTTGTAAAGTTGCTTTCAAATTAGTTGTTATAAGCGTTAAAACGAATCACATTCTGTCTAGGGGAAAAAACATGTATCAATTATTCACATTCTAAATGACATTGTGTGTGAAATTTTCCAAAATGACTGTTAGTTCAAGTTACAAATCAAATAATTTTAGATAATGTTTCAGGTAACACCCATAAAGGAAAATGAAATAATAAAGACATACCGTATAGCTGATGATTAAGGAGGTTATGCGTAGACGGTTCGATGACGGAGCTATAATACATAGCCGCAAATTATCAAATCAAATCCTAAACGGATGATTTTTGCCACGCTGGGACATAGCGTGAAATTAAACGATGAATAGATAACAGTTTGAGTAGTCAGCAAGTTCAAACATGATAGTACTCAATGACAATATAGACATGCAGTAAACCTGCCAAGAGAACTGACGAACATCTACCTAAAAACTTCGGGTGTCTATCACATGAGGGGCTGTGGGGTAGCCTAGTGGTTAAGCGTTCGATTCGCGCCAGAACCCGAGGTCGATTCCACCCACATGGACATAATGTGTGAAGCCCAGTTCTGTGTCCCCGATATCGTGATGTTAAAAGCGGCGCTGGAATGTTGCCAATTGAGTATTGAAGAATCATTCACTGTTTTTGATTTACGATCTCGTGGTTGACATGGGATCTATGAAATAGGCTGGCAGTGTTTGACAATTTTTAGATACTATATATTACGAAACATTTAGGGGAAAAGTAAGTCTTCTTTTGTCGGATGCATGTCCTTGATTGTCGTGTATGGCGGAGGGAGAGAATGTCACTTAATGAGTGACACTCTATAATATTGGTCATTGTTACTGTTACATAATACTGGTCCAGTTTTCCGATTTCGACACAAGTATCATTTATTTAATAATAATATTTCACGTCAAAATATCTCTAATTTACCTCTTCATCTAATCATTGGCGGATTTTTTCGGTTTTCAAATCGCATGCATTGGATACGGTCTTTGAAACGGTGACACTGATGAAAATAGGCTACAACAAAGGGGGGTAACTCTTGTAAAGTTGCTTTCAAATTAGTTGTTATAAGCGTTAAAAACGAATCACATTCTGTCTAAAAACATGTATCAGTTATTCACATTCTAAATGACATTGTGTGTGAAATTTTCCGAAAATGACTGTTAGTTCAAGTTACAAATCAAATAATTTTAGATAATGTTTCAGGTAACACCCATAAAGGAAAATGAAATAATAAAGACATACCGTATAGCTGATGACAAATGGGTAGACGGTTCGATGACGGAGCTATAATACATAGCCGCAAATTATCAAATCAAATCCTAAACGGATGATTTTTGCCACGCTGGGACATAGCGTGAAATTAAACGATGAATAGATAACAGTTTGAGTAGTCAGCAAGTTCAAACATGATAGTACTCAATGACAATATAGACACGTAGTAAACCTGCCAAGAGAACTGACGAACATCTACCTCAAAACTTCGGGTGTCTATCACATGAGGGGCTGTGGGGTAGCCTAGTGGTTGAAGCGTTCGATTCCCCGCATGGACATAATGTGTGAAGCCAAGTTCTGTGTCCCCGTCGTGATGTTGCTGGAATGTTGCCGAGTATTGAAGAATCATTCACTGTTTTTGATTTACGATCTCGTGGTTGACATGGGATCTATGAAATAGGCTGGCAGTGTTTGACAATTTTAGATACTATATATTACGAAACATTTAGGGGAAAAGTAAGTTTCTTTTGTCGGATGCATGTCCTTGATTGTCGTGTATGGCGGAGGAGAGAATGTCGCTTCACGAGTGACACTCTATAATATTCATTGTACCAAATTCGCCATATCAGTTATAAGGATCATGTTGTCAAAGTAATTAGTACACCCTTGTTTAAGTATAAAACACGTGTTGTTACTTGACTCCCAGGCAGTCAGAAGTTATCTCCCCTTTCAAGCTCAACGTGTACTTTGCTGTTACTGATGTATTGTAGGGCTTCGCTGACAGTCCAACTATTCTCATATATAGGTTAGCCCAGGGTTTTAGAAAACAAGCTTTCCTTTTGTGCGGCCTCATAAAATAACGCATAGGGTCAAGAGTTTGTCAAGTAATCAATGCAAACTGTGTGAGGTGAATTTGCCTTATGGTCAGTGTTATTGTTACAGATACTGGCCCAGTTTTCCGATTTCGACACAAGTATATTTTATTTAATAAATAATATTTCACGTCAATATATCTCTTCTGTTGAACTTCTGTGAAATGATTTACCTTTTGATCAAATCATTGGCTGATTGGTTTTTCAAATCGCATGCATTGCATGCGATTTGTAAAATGGTGGTACTGATGAAAATAAGATGCAACTAAGGGAGGTAACTCTTGTAGAGTTGCTTTTAAATTAGTTCGCTATAGCGTTAAATGAATCACATTATGTCTCAAAACATGTATCAATTATTCACATTTTAAATTATATTGTGTGTGAAATTTTCCGAGCTGACTGTTAATAATTGAGGAAACAAATCAAATAATTTTAGAGAATATTTCATGTAACACCCATAACGGAAAATGAAGTAATAAAGACATATCGTTTAGTTGATGGTTTTAAGTTCGACGGATCGCGGACGGAGCTAGCAAATAGCAAAGTCATCAATATCCTTAAACGGACTATTTTTGCCACGCTGGGTCATAGCGTGAATTTAACACGAAAGAAAGAAATCAGATCGTGATATGAGCAACATTAAACGTAATAACCATGACAATGTCGGTTTTTTTAATGCAATTTGCCTGCCAAGAGAAATGACGAACATGTTAGAACTAAAATCGGTGTCCATAACATGAGGGGCGGTGGGGTAGCCTCGTGGTTAAAGCGTTCGCTCGTCACGCCGAAGACCCGGGGTCGATTCCCCACATGGATGTAATGTGTGAAGCCCATTTCTGTGTTCCCCGCTATGATATTGCTGGAATGTTGCTAAAAGCGGCGTAAAACAATACTCACCCACTTACTATAACATGAACAATATTCTGAAATGTTCAGACAAGGAATGACAATTGAGTATTGAAGAATCATTCACGATTTTTCCTTTACGATCTCGTGGTTTACATGGGATCTATGAAATAGGATGGCAGTGTTTGACAATTTTAGATACTATATATTATGAAACAATTAGGGAAAAAGTAAGTCTATTTTGTCGGATGCATGTCCTTGATTGCCGTGTATGGCGGCATTCGTGACCAACTCGTGTTATTCCTGAACAAGCCGGTTACGGAAATGGGCGAATGGTGACGAATCTTTTTGGAGGTTACGGAAGGAGCGAGTGGTGACGAATGGGATGGTGGATGTCTTTCCTAGATTGGTAGCTTGGTTTTTAAATGTATGCGTAGACTATCATTTAAATGAGAAAGGATCAACAACTTGAAACACAGTGGTTCTTTTATTCCGAACGGAGTTGTGGGGTAGCCTAATGATTAAAGCGTTCGATCATCACACTGAAGACTCGGGTTCGATTCCCCACATAGGCACAATGTGTGAAGCCCATGTCTAGTGTTCCCCGCTATGATATTGCTGGAATATTGCTGAAAGCGGCGTAAAACCATACTCACTCACTCACTTTTATTCCGATCAAGGTTGTTGCCTGTGAAAGCTGGGGTAATTTGTTCTTGTGCGCCATGAGCGTTCTTGGAAGAGACATAACTCATGAATTTAGTAGAGTCTAAGATCGAAGTACCGCACTGACTGCAGACATCTGAGGCAAGTGTATGACGCAGTCTTCAAAGCACAATGTTTTAGTGAAGACATTCATTGGAAATTGATAGCTTTGTGTAAACATTTTATTTTCATTGTAAAGAAAACGCGTTTAATACAGCTATTTTAATAGAATTGATTTGATTATATGTTTTTAAACTTCATTAAGCCGCTGACAATGGTTGAATCTGTCACTTAAACGCTCTGAAAGTGAATGTGAGATATACATGTATATTACATCGAATCGGATGGGGTTCGTATAATTAAGGTTGTGAATTAAATTTTAAGCACATGATAAAGCATGATTAAGCACGATAAATGGTGTACAAGGTGACCGAAAGATTGCGTAGATAAATGTACATGGTGTCAATGTCAGAATTATTTTTCATGTAGCTGAAATATTGGTGGGTGTGGCGTTTAACAACAGGAAGAAACTATTCCATATCACGTGCACTGACAGGGTCACCTTTGTTGAGTCCACGTGTCTTGTGTGTCCATAGGATGCTGGGATACCGCTGACTGACCTCCAGGTGGAGGAGATCATCAAGCAGCTGGACATGGATGGGGATGGGGAGATCGACTTCAGGTAAGTCACGGCAGAAGGAAGGAGTGAGGAAGCTAGACGCTGGACAGGTTTCGTCAGCTTAAAAAAGCATGTCTCATTCCAAGCTAGCTTAGGGGTAGTGGTTAAAGCGTTCGCTCGTAACGCCTAACACCCGGGTTCGATTCCCCACATTGATACATTGTGTGAAGCCAATTTCTGGTTTCCCCCGCCGTGATATTTGCTGGAATACTGCTAAAAGCGGAGTAAAACTAAACTCAGTCATTCTCATCCTCGATAATCTCCAGGGTATACGTTACGATCACTCTCCACTATATATATATGATCGTAACGTATATCCTGAAAATTATCGAGGATGAGTCATTCCAAGCTCTGTGTAAAACTCTGTTAGGCTGCATTATATTGCTAGTACACACTGTTTCCAGGGGCGGTGGGGGTAGCCTAGTGGTTAAAGCGTTTGCTCGTCGCGCCGAAGACCCGGGGTCGATTCCCCACATGGGTAAAATGTGTTAAGCCCATATCTGGTGTTCCCCGCCGTGATATTGCTGGAATATTGCTAAAAGCGGCGTAAAACCATACTTACTCACTATTTCCAAAGGGAAATGAGCATGACCATATAAAACCATGTTTTCTATGTGTTGTTCATATTCAACCTCAACCAGCAGCTAAGCGGGCGGGCGAAATACAAACTTAAAAAGTGTCATTTGTTTCAGTCAAAGTTATATATTATATTCAGAGACAAAGCGCTAGTCAAGACGGCATGCAACAGACGCAAATGCGCCATGTACTGAAATTAGACTTTTGAAATTAGACGATTTTGGACTATCTGATTCAGATAAGTGCCGTTATATGTCGGGTTTTATTTTCTGTTTGTAGTGAGCTAGTGATATCTACGAAGAATGTTTTATAAGGGACCGCCACAGGAAGCCTGGGTTCGGATCTCACATCGAATGCGAACCTGTGAAGAACACGGTGTTTCGACAAGAAGTGAAGAAAGACAAGTGTTTTGTGTGTGTTGCGCAGGCGACCTGTCAGAACAGTGTGCCAGGGCCATTCATTTATAACATTGATACTGTCCACACGCCCTGTTTGGACAACACACTTTTATCGTTTAATAGAACATTTCGATGAATATTGATTTTAATTATGCTTGTTGAAGACAATAAAAATACTGAATGTTGCGGATACATAAAATAACAAAGCTCTTTGATAAATTAACATATATTGAACATAAAACTTGGTACCTGACAATTCAGCTCAGCACCTCGAAATTTCAACTTCGCTGCTTTTATTCGGACATATTTATATTTCAGCGGCAATAAAAGGTTTCCGTAAAATAACAGGTATTTGTGTTAGCCGATATGCATGTGGCATAGTTGTGTCAAGGCCTGTACTAATCCGTCTCACCGCCCATCCCTTACTACAATGCTGAGCCCTTCGTATAGGTTCTAAAGGTATAGGTTCTAATTCTTACGACATTAGGAATCCTTTTCAATTTAATTGTAATTTCCATCAAGTTATATTATCAGTTAGTCAACAGGATTGAGAACACAGTTTTATGTGAGACTCTCTTCGGCAGTGGTTTGCTATATCGCTACCAACTGCACATTACACTGTACTACCTGATGTGTCTCATGATGTCTAAAGCGCTATCATAGTGCTGTGGGTGGATTGGTGAAACATGTAAATCAGTTGGACTGAACTGAATATAGTTTCCAAAGTATGACCAAAATATATCTGTTGATTTTTGTTTTCTTTACGATTGGTTGGTTGTTGCTTAAGGTCTCACTCAACAATATTACAGCTATATGGAGGCGGTCTGTAAATAATCGAGTCTGGACCAGACAGTCCAGTGATCAACATCATAAGCATCGATCTACGCAATTGGAATACGATGGCATGTGTCAATTTCAGAGAGCATGACCACCCTATCCCATTAGTCGCCTCTTATGACATGCATGGCTGGCTGAAGACCAATTCTAACCCGGATTTTCACATAGAGAGATCGCATCTCATTTCGTCAAGTTCATTTCATCGGCTGGTACGACCAGGATAGTTTGTTTGAGTCCTGCACTAAGGCGCTTTGAAATTCTGAACTTTCTTGACTCTAAAACCTTACATACTGCCGCCATAAATATTTTGCTTCGTTTTGTAAGATCTCCCAAGATGAAACATGACTGTTTCCAACAAGTAAGCTTGTCGTATAGAAATGTCCACTACATACGATCCAGTATAGAAAGGGCTTGTACAGAAATGACCTTACATGCAAAGAGGCAGTTAATTCCGGGTTAGAACTTGTCTTCAGCAACCCATGCTTGTAGTTCTGTATGGCTTGCTGACTTGGTTGACGCATGTCCTCGAAGTCTCATTGGTAAGGTCCATTTTGTCAGTGATCGTCTGGTCCAGACTATTTGCACCCTACCATACAGCTGTGAGATTAAGGTGTTAAACAACCAAAAACTGTTGCAAGCATGGGTTGACGACTTAACATGGATCTGTTCTGTCCAAAAGTCCTATGTTGAAGGAAACTGGCATTTTTGTCCCTTTTATTTTGATAAACAAGCTTTTTATTTATTCTTGAGCTGATAAGGACATCTCTGAATTATGCTTAGCACCAGTTAGTACAGCATTCCAGTTTAATCACATTGACAAAAGATGTCATGGTGTACATGATAAAAAGAAGATCCAACCACAGATTCATCTTAATCCACTGTTTATTTACAACTGGATGCACAGTAGAACACCACCAATGATCTTTGTACACTGAAGGTGATGATGACTGCAGATTGAGAACACACAAATAGGACAAGACCAATCAAAATCTCTGATTTCCCTCAGCAATACTATCTGTCATTGGATTAATTGAGTGAGTGTTGTTCTACACCCATACATACACTCATACATATCATTGCAGCCTTTAAGCAATCAGAGCAGAGAAAATGGTTGATAACATGAGCATCGATCCAAGTTAGTAGGGGTGAAACGACACAGCAAGATCATGATACTTATCATGATACATAGGTCACAATACCATATGTAATCACTGGGAAACTTCTTGATTGATATTTGAGAACAGGTTCCAAAGATCGACTTATTTGGATACAGAGCAAAAACGTCTCGCACATAATATTGTTGCATGAAAATTACACTGCCATGTTGTTTCACTCCCACATCTTATTGTGGGTTCATATATAGTTCAGCTAGATCACATATTCTATTATAAGAACCTAAATTGGGACATGAGGCACAAATTAATGTATAATTACATGTCCTTATCTAGTGGGAAGACACAGTGTGGCCTGGATATTATCACTGCAACTAAATTACAACTTTTTCTTTACAATATCTGAATCAACACCAAGAGGGGAGCAACTATGAAAACAATATTCGAATTAGTAGGATCATCCTAGTTTTTTTACAGACATCCTATATAGAATGCAGGCCTGAACTCTCAATGCATAGGTGGAGACACATCCTGTATGGAGCCAGGAACCAGTGGAACAGATCCCTTGTGGACAGCAACCCTGAACATGAGAGAGTCCACAGATCAAGCAAGAGTTCACCTGCATTAACAACACAGGGTACCATACTAGTTTAAAGTGTCACTTAAACTGCAGTATTTGCAAATCAGGCAAAACACTAATGTAAACTATTGGTAAATTAAGCATACATGCTATAGTGCAAGCATATCACATTACTGAATCTTCACACACTTGAACACTAAGGTAAACTGTACCCAAGTACCAACTGTTTGCCATCTGAGTTCGACAGGATAGTATAGACACACCAAACTGCATCTGTTTACCTCCATATGACCAAGGGGTCTTTGTACATTAAATTTTCCGAATAGTCAATCATACTTAAAAACAATTACTTTTTAGGACATTCCCCACCCGTTTCCTGGAGTGAGTGAGTTAATTTACTTTACGATTGGTTGGTTGTTGCTTAACACACTCAGCAATATTCCAGCTATATGGCAGCGGTCTGTAAATAATTGAGTCTGGACCAGACAATCCAGTGATCAACATCATGAGCATCAATCTACGCAATTGGGATATGATGACATGTGTCAACCAAGTCAGCAAGCCTGACCACCCAATCCCCGTTTCCTGGAAACGAGTGAGAGAGTTGTAGTTTTATGTAACTCTGAACAGTATTTTTTATTGATATAAAGACATGTTACCTTATGTGTGAAAAAGCCCCAAGTGATACAGGTCACTGATGTTAACCCCTTAGGAGAACCCCACAAACATGGTGCTGACAAAACAATGACACATGATCCAGACGAACTAGAACACACTGAATTGTGGAGGCTACTGCATCAAGCATGTACCCTTTCATCATGGATGTTGACAGAGGAAGATCATGGATATAAATCAAGGTTTTAAAGCAGGTTCCCTCCAATGCAAAGGTTCAGAGTATAGGTCGTCCTCATTACCTCTTAGAAATGGTGTGTAAAACAACAAGTTAGCAACTTTGGCAGATTCAGATGGGTTTAATTCCACTGTGAACACCGTTTGGGGTTTTCATCATGGTATGTAGGCTGAATGTTTAAGAAAGACCTGAACTGACTGACTGACTGACTGAGTTTGGTTTTACGCCGCTTTTAGCAATATTCCAGCAACATCACAGTGGGGGACACCAGAAATGGGCTTCACTCATTGTACCCATGTGGGGATTCGAACCCGGATCTTCGGCGTGACGAGCCAACGCTTTAACCACTAGACTACCCCACCGCCCCAAGAAAGACCTGAAGTGACGAAGTGAAGTGTACAACAATGGTGAAACTGGTACTGAAAAAACAATAATCAGGGTGAATCTGGGATACTAGAAATACACTGACATGAATTACACCATGACCAAAGCATCATGGAGGTGGAAATACACCATGACCAAAGCAGCATGGAGGTGGAAATACACCATGACCAAAAGCAGCATGGAGGTGGGGACCATTAATAAGATCATCTGAGAAAAGTAACTATGTAATTACTACAGTAATCTGCAACAATGGCAACTGTAATCTGTTAATGCATTGATATATTTTGAATTCAAAAGAAAGTGCCTTTTGAAGGTAAACTGTGAAAGGATTTTGCTCTATTGGAATCTATTTACTGCCCTAATTTTCTTAAATTCAGTTTATTAAGTAACATATTCCAAAATTTGCAGTAAATGCAGTAATATAAAACTAAGCATCAAAGCCTCTTTATTACTGTTATTGGCTGTATCATTAGTTTAGCACGAGCCTACAGATGTATAGAAATTGTGCTAGCTATAATCTATGAATCAGGAAGGTGTTTGATTTCATTATGGACATTTTTAATAACATTGCTGCTAAGAAAGGGCCAAATAGCAGCTTCTGACAATGCCAAGATAAAGAGATGCAATGTGATTGGCTGCTTTGAAAACGCTATGCAGGCTATAGTGCTATATAAAGACAGTTGCTGCCTTTTCTTGCAATGATTCATCATCCAGGGAAATGTGAACAGCCCCTTTCCTGATCTTCCTCATCGTCCTACAAGGTGTGTCCCCATTTTGATTCTGTACACAGAACTGGTTTTATTATCAGCCTGATTATCATGTCTCAACACAAAGACTATCACAAAGAACAATGTAGCTGGTGTGAAACCCCTTGTTAGGCCAGTATTAACAGTCTTGTAAAATTCTTCCACAACTGCTGATAGGATCTGTCTTCGAGGCAAATGGTGTTAGCAAAACTGGAAAAAAAGATATAGAGATGAGCAATGACAAAATATTATGACAATGCGTAGTGAAATAACTGAATGGATCTACACCAAATGGACTCTCCACAAGGACTAGGTCATGGACCCTCTACATGGAATCAATCATGGACATGAATGTACCTACAGCAAGTGGAATCTGAACACAAGATCTAGTCATGGATATGAATGGTCCTGCAACATATGGAATCTCTTCAAGGACTTAGTCATGGACACTAGCAGACCTCCAACATATACTCTCTACAAGGACATAGTCACGGACATGAATGGACCTGCAGCTAAGGAATCTCTACAAAGACTTTGTCATTGACATGCAGTACCTGGACTTTGGCTAAGTGAAACCTCACTCCTTACAATTTTGATAGCTCTGTATTGGGCTACCTATGTTATCCAGTGGTTATACTGAATACCTGACCTGATATATACACATCTGTCCTAAACAGTCAGTGCTATAGTAGTTCTGATAAAGAGTGCAGTCTTTGGCTACATACCTTCCATCTATGACCACAATCATTGCAGAAGCAAAAGGTTGTCATCGGTTCATCAGCACTTCTTGTCTGCACCTGGAGCAAAGATAAATGGCCAAGGTACCATGTAAATATCATTACTCATTAAAAACAATCTGACTCTCCAGTCGCAATCTTGTACCAACACACACACATGTTGGTTGCACTGTAGTGAAATGACGTCATGATGTCATAGTGTTTCAAATGATCCTGTTCACATTTGAGTGAACCTACTGGCTGGCTGATATTCACATAAACATATTTCACTAAACGTAACTGAGCTTGTAAACTTATTTTGATAAATTAGTGACTAGAGTCACAAGCATGGTGAATGTGAAATTACAACAGTCTCATCAGATATAGGTCCATGCAGCTTGTAAGATCCCACTTGCTAGTCACACATGTAAGGTATAATACAAACAGGATACAAAACATACCCTACTAAACATACCAGCCATTCTTAGTCCCATGAAAACACATCTAAAAGGACACAATAGTCGACTGAAGTATGGATAAGATGATGAAAGAGATTTTATGTTACACCTTAGATTAGACAGACCAGGAAGAGCTATAACAGTTTTAAACCTCAAGGGAGACTACTTGTTACTATTGTGTGTGAGCATCTTATTGATTTTATTTTAAGTCCAGGTTTATGCCAACAAGGAAACACTTGGTAATTCATGTTCATGTGAACATAACGTTATTTTGAGACAAACATTTACAATTTACAATGAAATCTTCTTAGTCTTCAAGATATTTTGAAACCTCAAACTTGGGACAGTTTTGTTGATGTTTAGATGTGCATAAAGTCACATTACTATGCACTTAGAGTGTATTAATCCAGAAATGAATTCCCCTTGTGTATAAACCCTAACAAATGGTCCAGTTTTTCATACTGAGACGGACAGATTCAGCTTTGTGTTTCTACAATTCCATAAAACAGTAGACATGTGATATACCTGGTTGTATGTAACACTCTTCTTCCCACACTTGCCACACTTGAGTAGATCTGTCACTGTGCCACCTGTCTTGGCCAACTGATGATCATCAATGGCTTCTTTGGTAAACTTTGTACGCAAATTCTTCATCTCATTGCTTGCCATTTCCTGCAACAAGCAAAGCATTTCAGTACACTGTTATGTTACTTACCTATGACATGTTACATCATTGTTTGCTCCAGAAATATTGCAGTTATATGATAGCAGAGACATTTAAATAATCGGGTATGAATCAGAAACCCAGTGATTGATATTATGAATAACCATTCAGTCCATTATGATGTCACTAATGACCAGCATAGTTTGCTGGGGACTAATTCTAACTCCATAGACAACATGTTGTATGGCTACGAAAAAGTGTCAGGTTCATTCCTCTCTTGTGAGGTTCACCCTATTCATTGCATGTTCATACAATGCTTTCATGTGTATGGAAGTGTATCAGAGCAAAACATCTGATTTTAATGAGGATGTCATAAAACTTATTCCATGTAAAATAAATCAATACCATGTGCAGTGACTGATGATGACAGAAGAGAAATAAAACATATTGACAGTACATTACCTCTGCTGTCATTTTTGCTAGCTGAATGGGTGAGATGTGACCAAGTAGAACGTTCTCCCTCAGACTAGGATTCTTTGCATCTCTAAGATTTGCAACTCGGCTCCTGATTCTTGTCTTATACTTGGAATCTGTATTAGCAAACTCACAATACACAGCTTTGGTGAGTTAAGGATATTTGAGAAAATTAGTTCACTTGGACACAGTGTTTCAAAGGTAACAGATCTGATGAACACCAGGAGACCAAGCAAAGAAAGCGTATATGAAGATAGAATCACTGCATCTTAAATATTATTCATTGTTTCGTCCGATTTCATTTCACACCTATGACATCCCTAGATGACATTCTGTTATAGGATTATTAGTATCAGCACTATTACAAGAAGCAGTCCCTCAACATACTGAAAGATTCCGAACACAAAATGCAGATGTTTCCGTTACCTGATAAATGGCTTTCTACTACTGAGAATTGTAGAATCTGCATTTGATTATGAGGGGAAATCTGCTAGGTAAGATCTACATCCATATTTTGGACACATATATTTTGAATGGAAATAAATCTATACCTTGTAAAAAGTGAAAATGAAACAATAACTGCACAAAATGCAGTGTAACTCTTAGTATCAGGCTCAAGACTATGAAAGGATACCATCTTCAATCTCTTCTGCCAACACTGCCCCATCCATAGCATTCTCCATTCCTTCAGTGTTTTCTGCAATTTGAATCAGAGGGATGTAATTATGGCTGTAAGTGACTTGGTTTACATCATGGTATGCCAGATAAAAGCTATATCGCAATGAGAATGATGGACATGACAAACCAATTCTTTATTGACTGTTTGATCAATACAGTTGATTGGGTTTAACTGCACAAAATTAACTTTTGTGCCTCACCCAGCAGTGAGCGTGCAACCACTTTTTAGCACATCCAGTCATGTATCCTGGTTAATTAAAAATCCCATATAGGGCCCCAACTGGTAGTTCGAGTGCACCCACCAGGTAATTTTACTGCTCCCATAAAGTGCCTCACCTGGTAGTTTGAGCACATACATAACATTTCTCGCCTGGGAGTTTGAGTGCACCAATATAATGCCTCACCTGGCAGTTTAAGCGCATTCTGCAACAATTCCCGACACTTGAGGCGGACAGGATCGTTGGTGTAGTTAAGCCCGGACCCAGATGAACTGCTCTCTTTGTTACTGGTGCTGCTCTGAGAGGACTGGGAGTTGTCAAAGCCATCGTTCGAAGACTCATCCATCTTGGTAGCACTGGTGCTGTTTGACTTCTTGTCACTGCCTTGGTTGGTTTCTGTAAGGAAATGTGTTTCTGCTTAGGTTTCAATCAAGTAAATATCACATTTGCATCAAAGATTGTTTTCAACATGTTCAAAAGTGAGTTATAACTTAATTTTAGCTTTCTTACTTTTGTATCAACTGAAGTAACATATCAATATATGGATGAACAACTTCTTTATTGCTGTGAGAGCGATGTTTCGGTGTAGGTTCTAACACTGTTATCAAGCAAGTGACCTTCATCCATATATTGTTATCCTTCATTACTCCTCCAACTTCTCAATGCCTCTCAAAGAAGTTTTCCTTGGTTGCGGTTGGTTTCATCAGTGGGTTCAGGACAAACATTAGACGATGACTTATGACAAACACCAGTCACAAGTGTCATAAAAGACGGCCTCTGACTTCATCAAAATGATACATAATATGCCCATTTTGTTTCCAGTGCCACTCTAACTAGTGTTTCAGATATACAACCGCATAGTGATACAGGTCTTTGACATCAAGTGATCTGATGAAACCTTTGAGCCACGCATGATGCTGATGAACTGGTGATGATGGACTGAATTAGACACTCCAACAATGTAAGCACCAATTAATTTTGGTAGCCTTTTGGTAATTTTGGTAGCCTTCAACAACCACATATATATGATGACATAACTTTTTCAACCCATACTACCCACAGGATTATTGCCTCTTGCAACGTCAGACACCAACCTGGCAACAACTTCTTCCAGTTCTTTATGAGAGTCTTTGCTAGTGAAACAACCTCGTCATTTGATGTTGCCTTCCTAAAGTTGTTCACAGTCATCCCTATTCTAGTTTTCTGTAAACAAATTTTAACATAATTAATATCATAGAACACAGAAAAACTCATTGACCAGTTATTGATGTAACAAGATTAACTATTCATTTCATTGTCAGTTGTGATTACTACTGACTTATTATTGTTTGAGACAATGTATCTGCTCCATTAGTTCTCAGAATAACCTTTTGGACTCAAAAAATTAATTTATTGATTTCCATCCATATTTTAATGGTATGGGAAAGAGTTCCTTCCGTTGCCCCATATTTGTTTTGTAACATTACCATGCAGATTAACAGAGGTAATGCAACGTGGTTCGATCCTATATATTGTAATTATTTGGGGGCTTTCAGTTATTTTTGTGAGTTCTTTAGTAATTGTTGTGTTAGGTTTTGTTAATAATTTTAGTATATATGAATTTATAAATATTATTTGGGATGGGGGAACGGGAGGAACTCTTACCTAAGTATGATTTGCAAATTGCAGATTTAAACAAAAGGAAATCAAACAAGAAACATAGAACAACTCATGGAAAAATTATTGGTGTAACAAGATTAATTATCCATGTTATTGTCAATTATGATTTCTACTGACTAATCATTGTGACAATCTATCAGTCCAAATTAGTTCTCAGATAACCTTTTGATTTCAATGAGATTGAGTCTGTAGGAACTTGGTGAAAATAAAATAATGTGAAGAAGGGTGCATTGCTTGACTTGAGGTGTGCGGAGTTTCAAAATCTTATAAATAGTTTACTGTTGCCTTATGAAGCTTATTGCCCCAATGTACACTACCTGCAAGACATCCAAAGTCATGGGTAAGTCTCGAAGTGTCTTCAACAAATCCAGTGCTGTCACGTGATCCTGGAAAAACATGAAGGATATTTTTCAAATACATGTTGTGCCCATTTCAGATGTTGATTGTAAAACAGATATCCTCTGGGCTGGTTTAACATAATTTCTAAGTGAGTTATGCATATTGGACATGTTTGAGATGTACTACAGATGATATATTATTACCACTCTGCAGTTACAAAAACACATAATAAAGAAAATATATAAACAGAAATTGAACTGCAAATATTGGTATTGCTATTATTTTTGTGGTCATTCTTTAAAATAATTTTAAGAAACAAGAACATAATGTAACTGAAATTTGTTAGCCTTACATTTCAAATTTGTATGGAACCTGCAATATTATGCATGAGCTGATTTATTTGTAACTAGCTGCATGTTTTGTTTTGGGGAGGGGGTGTTGGTGTATTTTTGTACTGAATGAGAGTCTGGAGAGTTAAGTCAGTGCCTGCAGCTTCTGAAGTCTGAGGGCCTTGATGGCAGCCTGTCAATTTTTCTTATTACCGACACTGGTAAATTAGGTCCATCGATACTACTGAAGTCACCATAAAATCGGATTCTCAATCGGATTTTTTCCTCCCAGAATGCATACATTAAAACTCATTACTCGATCCCCATGACAGACTGTTGCTAGCACACAACAACGTATGGTACATCACAGTAACATGGACGTATCAATGCATGTAACCTATCACATGTACCGGTTGCAGCGTTTGGCGCGCCGGGTCAAAAATGTAAACAGTTGGCTTCTCACAAGCAGGTGCCCTGTTTCACATGTCATGAAGTCCCTTATTGAAGTGTTTCGCGCCACAACAGTCTTTATTAAAGTAAACCATAAGCATGGATTTTGCACTTCTTAACATTTGACATTTTGGGGTTTTTTGGTCAGTACTTACCTCCAGTGCTGACTTGAAAGTCTTTGGCGTTGGTGATGTTCTCCACCGAAGACATTAAAATTAACAAATAAACGCAATCTACATAGCGTACTTACCGACGTATCGTTTGAAATCATTTTCTCGAGTTTTTTTCCAACCCTGAGCACGTCATCTTCGCACCCCATTGCTTATTTTTTGTTTGTTTTTATTAGTACTCAATAACACAATTTGACTTTCGGTATCACAAATCCAGCGTTTTCTGGAACGGAAGTTGTATTCTCAAAATGGCCGCGCGCGTCGCTATGCATTAGGATTCTACAACTGAATATTTTCGGCAAATGTAAACGCAAAACGAGATGTTTATTTAAGCCGAATTAAATATAGTTTTTAGTTTGTGGAAATTGATAAAATAAATTTTGAACATGTCTTGGGAAATGATTTTATTATACTAGTTTCCTAAGGAGACATTTTAGACGCGGTAAGGATGGGTGCCCGGCAAAGAACGTCATGGGAATTTGTGTACACATAATATATTTAAGAAAATTACAAGACCTTCAGTCGTCGATAAAGCCATTTTGATTGGGAATTTGATTTTTGCAAATGAAACTGCACATATTTTAGGACATTGTCGTGGCTTTGAGTTTTGTTTCCAAAGTGATGTGGCATAAGGGACCGTTCATCATTTATGGCTTATTTTGTTTATTTATTTATTTATTATTTTTATTTTTTTATTATTTTTAGAGATTTTTTGATTTTTTAATTTTTTTTTTTGGGGGAATTGTCACCCATTTGTTCTGGGAAGCTGGGGGATTCAGCAATTTTGTACACAAAAATATGTTTAATATTATGCTTAGAAACTATAGGAAGGGAGGGGGTCATTGATTTTGGTACATGACATTTAGGGGGTCACTTATGTTGTACACATTGTTTTACGGGGTCTTCATTGTACATGCTTCTCCATAAAATCTTCAACACAAATTAAACATAAACCCTAAGTGAGTTTTTTTTTCCATTCAACCTTAAATGATAACATGAAATGATGACCTTCAATCAGCAATATACTTCCGATGAGTTATTTTTTAAATAATAAATAATAGTGCACCAGGGAGAATAGAAGACGTACATTATCCCTGAGTGCACATTTATAATGCACTCATTTCCACGCTTGCAGTGTGCTTAAGGCGAAAATTAATCTTTATGTGGAAGCAGAGTCCATATAATAATTGGTCTCTGGTGGACGTACGCATCCTAAAGTTGGTAAAGAAATCCATGGTGTTATGGGTTTGCTTTCACGAAGAGAATCTAAAACAATTTGGCTTTTTATAAAATACCATTTTGAAAATATTCCAATGGAAGTACTTCACTTCGCAATCATATATATGAAGTAAGTTCTTAGGTAAATACTTTGGGCGTAACGCGTTACATTCAACTGGGGCTTTTGCTTGCATGCGTAAAATATTGTGCGCTAAACTTTGACGAGGGCTATACCTTGTCAAACTCCGTTCTTACTCTTTTGGTTACTTTACAATGTATGCCCCAAACATGTGTTCAACATAAAATTAACGTGCACATGATACCATAATTGTCAAAATGTTTAAGTCAAAGCCAAAACGGGTTGTGGGAAGCAGGGAGTCGGTGGAGAGTGGTAATATGGTAAGGTTGTTTGACAGGAACACCTAAGCAGGATAGTGCTACAGATCCATTATGTATGCGTCTGGTGTTTCAGCAATATTATCATCCTGTTTCACGGGCATGTGTGCCGTTATCGGTTTTCTCATGTTGTCATTTTAATTCACTGACTATGTGTTCTTTACCGTTAACTAAGCTTACCAACAGGGCTAAAGTTCTGAACAATTAATCAAAACAATGTTGAAAACATTTCACGTTTATCCTGATAAATCTATAGTTCTTGTACACATAATAATTCATTCATAATGTCAATATCAGATACTTTAAATATGTTTATTTGATTTGTAATTTCATCTTAGACCTTTGAGAAAACATTTGTCTGAAAGACCAGAGCCCATATAATAGATATTATATCTATTATATGTTCTCTGGAAAAACTAACACAGTATATCTGATATGTTCACAAAATTATGTGATTCATACAGAGAAATTCTTACTTAAGAAATTTTGTTGGTGACACTTTTAAAACTGCAAAGTGTGTTATATTGAATCCTCAGAGTGGCTCGAGCAATGAAAATCTGACATCAAACAAGGAGAAGGATACAGTAGATATGATCTTGAAACAGAAAGTTCACTTCAATCTGTTCTATATGGGCATGGTGCAGAATGTGAACCTGACAAGCGCCAAGAAGAGGGACACAGAGGCTCAGCTCATTGATCAGGTGGAGGAGGCTCAGGTCAGTGCACAGGCTAGCGAGGCTATGAGTGAGTGGGTGAGTGAGTTTAGTTTTACGCCGCACTCAGCAATATTCCAGCTATATGGCGGCGGTCTGTAAATAATCGAGTCTGGACCACACAATCCAGTGATCAACAGCATGAGCATCGATCTGCGGAATGGGGAACCAATGACATGTGTCAACCAAGCCAGCGAGCCTGACCACCCGATCCCGTTAGTCGCCTCTTACGACAAGCATGGGTTACTGAAGGTTCATTCTAACCCGGACCTTCACGGGTACTGCGAGGCTATGAGACATGGTAGCCGAGGCTAGATTGGAAACAGTCGCTGTACCAAATAGGCATTTAAAATATGACAGTACAAATCAGAGATATATATCTTCCTGGTTGTTTTAAATGCCCCAAATCTGTTTTGAACCATGTTATCAAATTTGTGGGCTTTGGGGGTTGTTGTTTTTATTGTATTTCGGGTACTTTTACAGTAGTTTGAGACATTATTTGCATGTTATTGTAAAAACTATAGAAACTGTTCCAGTGAAGATTATTAGAGTGTCACAGATAATGCACAGACTGTCTCTGTGGCCAAGAAGATAGAGTGTTTGTCCAGAGAGCAGAAGGTCTAGGGTCTATTCCCCAGCCACCACCTTCGTGGTGTAGTGGTTAGAGCGTCCGCCCCGAGAGTAGAAGGGCGCAGGTTCAATCCCCAGCTGTGTCATACCAAAAGACGTTAAAATATGGTACTTCTTGGTCCCTGCCTGGGGCTCGACATTAATGGGTACAACAAGGACTGGTCGGCTTGGAGTCAGTATAATGTTTCTGAGTTTTCTGAGTGGGGTATTCATGATTAACTGCGGCATGGTATCTCAGTGAGGTAGCTCTATAAAACCAGCTTAAGTCTGGGCTAGTACAAGCAGCCAAACATACAAACACCTGCACAAAGTGATATGGGTGAAATATTCTTAAGTACGATGTGAAACCCTATTTCCCCTCACCTCACCATTCCCCAGCCACATCAGGCCTAAAAAAAGGTGTTGTGGCTCTGATTACCCGACCGACCATTGAATTCTGGTGCCGACCCTATTTTTTTAAGCCGTTTGAATAAATTAAGCTTCCAAGATACCATTGGTTTTTTCCGGCACCAACGGACATTGGTCATTCTGATAGAGAAAGTCGACACGATGGCCTCACGCTTGATTGAATAAACAATTTACTTCTAAAAAAAATGTAAAAAATAGAATACAAATCCTACCTACCTACCCTAAATTTTAAGGACGTGTAATGGGAACCACATTTTTTTTATTTGGCCTCATACAAAACAAAGTTAGAAGTTACTTGTTGTTACCCTGTCTGGCTCTCGGCCTTAAGGGGATAAAACAAGGACTGGCCAGCTTGGAGTCGGCATACTGCATCATGCTATCTTAGTATCTAAAACCAACATTCGTCCTGACTAAAGTCCTGTCGGAAATAGAAAAAACCCTGTTTTTAGGCTGTTACTCTGTATCCCTAAAATTTACACAATTGCAAATAGCATATGTCGAAATAACCCACTTCGGCCTAACTGGGCGTTCAGTGGGATGCGTAATACGATATCCAGAAAAGCATGTTTACTCGTAAAATCGGGCAAAACTTAGAAAAAATACGAATAGCTGCTGAAAACAATAGATCAGACTATAGATGGCAATTAGGTTGCTCACCTGGCATGAAATGCACGTGCTGCCTACAGGCACAAGGGGTCATCTCAAAGATATTTTGTGCTTTTTCATGTGTGTTGACTATGTCTCATCTATTGATTAACATCTTACGTGTCTTTCTTTCATATATTTTCATATATGTTTATGTTGAGCTATGTAAAAGAGTATGATACCCGAAAACCATAGAAACGCATTGTAGTATATAGGTGGCATGACCACCAGAAGATCGACAGGACTGGATATTATTTGTAAATTGTTATGACATGCCGTGTACCTCCCCAGTATAATTGCCCTAAAGGATTATCTTGTCTTAGCTGATATCTCTATCCCCAAGCCCAACCCCAAGTTTTGCTTTTGAGATGGCCCCTCCTATCTGTTTCTTCTTATAGTGACAGTGAGACTGCATGGTAGCTACATCCTTAATAGTTTCGGCATAAAAGTTATTATTTTTTACGTCAGTTATCGTTTATAATGAATCTACGTCTAATTTCAAATTGGGCACACTAATTTGCATAAAGCCATGGTCTGTTCCAAATAAGTCTTTTTGGACTTAAAAAAAACTGCATTGCTCATTTCTGCACTAATTTCCCCTCAGTAAAGTCCTTTTTCTCCGTTTCCTATCTCTCTACCACCGAGACTGTAGTTAGGCCGAACTTAGTTTAACAGATATTTCACACTTTCACAGATCAACTACATAAATTGTAGAGATAAATGAGAAAATACAGTTTTTTTCTATTTCCGACAGTACTATAGTACGAGCAGAGAAGCATTATGCTCATCACTGGATAAGTGCAATAATCTTGACAGCTGCAACGACAAAAACTACAAATATAATCTACCATTGAGGTGGAGAATAACCAAGAAGTAAAACTAGAGTAAGTGAGTTTTTAGTTTTATGCCGCTTTTAGCAATAATTCAGCAGTATCACGGCGGGGGACATCGTAAATGGGCTTCACACATTGTACCCATGTGGGGAATCAAACCCGGGTCTTCAGTGTGAAGAGCGAACGCTTTAACCACTAGGCTACAGCACTGCTCCATAAACTAGAGCTTTGTTTGGATGAGCAACATTGTCACTGAACAAAAACAACACTTTCCTTATTTCAGATTGAGGGTAAGCTACCCTTGTCTGTAACAGAAGAGGACAAAGTGGCTATCACCGTATCTCGACATGGAATCAAAGTGATGGACACATCCAGACAGGTGGGACACTTTAGTATGTAGTACAGGCTTTAAGAGACAGGACCTTTGCAGAGATGTTCGAACCTTGATGTCAGATAAGATCATCAAAGTACTACACTCCTTGTGTTTAGTGTGGTGTTACTAGGTCTGAAAGTTTGGCAGTATTAGGGCTGATAGGTCACAGGCTGGCAGTGGGGGGATTGATAGGTGTGCAAAATGTTAAGTGTTGGGGTTACCATGTCTGCAAGATTGACAGTGGTGGGGCTAATTGCTGTACACGTTTGCCAGTGGTAGGGCTAACAGATGTGCAAGTTTGCCAGTTGTAGGGCTAACAGATGTGCAAGTTTGCCAGTGGTAGGGCTAACAGATGTGCAAGTTTGGCAATGGTAGGGCTAACAGATGTGCAAGTTTGGCAGTGGGGGATCAACAGATGTGCAAGTTTAGCTGTTGGGGGATCAACAGATGTGCAAGTTTGGCAGTGGGGGTATCAACAGATGTGAAAGTTTGGCAGTGGGGGGATCAACAGATGTGCAAGTAAGAGGTTTTTAAGTTTGGGGATGGTGTCTTGTCATGTCTGCAAGTTTGCTGTCCATAAAAATCAGGTTTTTAAGGGATTTACAGTTCAAGTTTATAAATAACATCTGCAATCATCGTATATTTACACTGAAGCTGACTGGTGTCTCCATCCTAGGTGCAAACTAGATTTGAGCGAATATTCTCAAAGGCTCTGCCGCACTTGTTTCACAGATAATGGAAGGAAGGATTCCATGATCCAAATCAAAAACTATAAAAGCTGTCACTGTATTTCCAAATTATTGTTTCAGAGTTGGGTACTGTATATCAGAGACACGCAACTTATGAGGCGCACTCTGTGAAAAGCCAATGCTAATTTATATGCCTCATCCATATGGCAGTCCAAAATGAAGCACCCGTGAAGATCCGGGTTAGAATTGATCTTCAGCAACCTATTCTTGTTGTAAAGGTGACGAACAGGATCGGAGGGTTGTCTTGATTGTCTGGTCCAGACTTGATTTTTTACAGACGACCGCCATATAGCCGGAATATTGCTGAGTGCAGTATCAATCAATCAATCAATCAATCAATCAAATGGTGTGATGCCAGATTGATGACCATGAAAACCCCCTTTCCCTCTAAAGTAGTAACATAGGTGAGACAATGGGAGTCTATTTCCTGTTATGCTGTCAAACAACTACATTGCTTGACAGGCTATCATATCCTGGTTGATAGGGCCAGTAGAACCTGAAAGTGGTACAGCTAGAGAAAAACATCATCTGTGTCTTGTGTTTGGTGACCCTCCATACAAATCCCCCTAGTTTAAAGTATGAAAAAAATCACCTTCAAAACAGCAAATGTACAGTATGTCTAAAAAGGAGATTTTTGTCCTTAATTGAACTTGGACCAAATCTCAGTCAGCACTGCAGTTTCAGCAATACCGTAACAATAATGCCTATGATGACTGATCTGTTGTTATTGTGAGTTTCAGCAGATTCCCCAACACCCAATTCTGGTTGTAATAAGGGATTCAGTAGATTAGTGGTCAGACTCAGTTGACTTCATGTCATGGTACCCCAATGGCATGTATGGGTGCTCACAATATCAACCACTGGTCCAGATTGTACCACCATCATGAAGCTAGAATATTGTTGTGTGGCTTGAAACAACAAACACCCTTATGATTTGACCATTTCGAACACTTGATTATTATATTTTTTATGGAAAGTGCTGTGGCCTTTTAGAGGAAACATGTCTTCTGCATTGAGTGTTTAACTGACCAGGCGTTGACCAGTTGTTACCAAATTTTAAATGTTATATATGGTTTTGCTTGTTATCCATTAGTGGAGCAGTCTTTGAATTCTTAGTTTTCTGTCTTTATATTCCTGCAGGAAGTCTTTTTCAGCCATCCACTTCACACCATTGCACAGCTGATTCACTACAATGATGGTTTTGGCAAACAGAACATTGCACTGAAGATCGGTCAGAGTTGGGAAAATGCGTCAACCAGTGCTACCAGTGTTATATCTTCCAATGCCACTCACTCACTCACTCCCACCTACCCTAAATTTTAAAGACGTGGTAATCGAACCACATTTTTTTATTTGGCCTCATACAAAACAAAGTTAGAAGAAGTTACTTATTGTTACCCTGTCTGGCTCTCGGCCTTAGGGGATAAAACAAGGACTGGCCAGCTTGGAGTCAGCATACTGCATCATGCTATCTCACTATTTAAAACCACCATTCGGCCCAGCCTAGTAATGAGCAGAGAAGCATTATGCTCATCACTGGATAAGTGCACTAATCTTGACATCTGCAACAACAAAAACTACAAATATAATCTACCATTGAGGTGGAGAATAACCAAGAAGTAAGACTAGAGTGAGTGAGTTTTTAGTTTTATGCCGCTTTTAGCAATATTTCAGCAATATCATGGCGGGGGACATCGGAAATGGGCTTCACACATTGTACCCATGTGGGGAATCAAACCCTGGTCTTCAGGGTGAAGAGCGAACGCTTTAACCACTAGGCTACAGCACTGCTCCATAAACTAGAGCTTTGTTTGGATGAGCAACATTGTCACTGAACAAAAACAACACTTTCCTTATTTCAGATTGAGGGTAAGCTACCCTTGTCTGTAACAGAAGAGGACAAAGTGGCTATCACCGTATCTCGACATGGAATCAAAGTGATGGACACATCCAGACAGGTGGGACACTTTAGTATGTAGTACAGGCTTTAAGAGACAGGACCTTTGCAGAGATGTTCAAAGCTTGATGTCAGATAAGATCATCAAAGTACTGCGCTCCTTGTGTTTAGTGTGGTGTTACTAGTTCTGAAAGTTTGGCAGTATTAGGGCTAACGGATGTGCAAGTTTGCCAGTGGTAGAGCTAACAGATGTGCAAGTTTGGCAATGCCAGTGGTAGGGCTAACAGATGTGCAAGTTTGGCAGTGGGGATCAACAGATGTGCAAGTTTGGCAGTGGGTGGTGGGGATTAAGAGGTTTTAAGTTTGGGGATGGTGTAGTATCATGTCTGCAAGTTCGCTGTCCATAAAAATCAGGTTTTTAAGGGATTTTCAGTTCAAGTTAAAAAATAACATCTGCAATCATTGTATATTTACACTGAAGCTGACTGGTGTCTCCATCCTATGTGCAAACTAGATTTGAGCGAATATGCTCAAAGGCTCTGCCGCACTTGTTTCACAGATAATGGAAGGAAGGATTCCATGATCCAAATCAAAAACTATAAAAGATGTCACTGTATTCCCAAATTATTGTTTCAGAGTTGGGTACTGTATATCAGAGACACGCAACTTATGAGGCACACCCTGTAAAAAGCCAATGCTAATTTATATGCCTCATCCATATGGCAGTCCAAAATGAAGCACCCGTGAAGATCCGGGTTAGAATTGATCTTCAGCAACCTATTCTTGTTGTAAAGGTGACGAACAGGATCGGAGGGTTGTCTTGATTGTCTGGTCCAGACTCGATTATTTACAGACCACCGCCATATAGCCGGAATATTGCTGAGTGCAGTATAAAACAATCAATCAATCAATCAATGACATGGTGTGATGCCAGATTGATGACCGTGAAAACCCACTTTCCCTCTAAAGTAGTAGGGCGGTGGGGTAGCGTGAGTGGTTAAAGCGCTGGTTCGTCACGAAGACCGGGTGATTCCCCACATGGGTACAATGTGAAGCCCATTTCTGGTGTCCCCCGCCGTGATGTTGCTGGAATATTGCTAAAAGCGTAAACCAAAACTCAGTCAGTCAGTCTAAAGTACTAACATAGCTGAGACAATGGGAGTCTATTTCCTGTTATGCTGTCAAACAACTACATTGCTTGACAGGCTATCATATCCTGGTTGATAGGGCCAGTGGAACCTGAAAGTGGTTCAACTAGAGAAAAACATCATCTGTACCTTGTGTTTGGTGACCCTCCATACAATCCCCTAGTTTTAAGTATGAAAAAAATCACCTTCAAAACAGCAAATGTACAGTATGTCTCAAAGGAGATTTTTGTCCTTCATTGAACTTGGACCAAATCTCAGTCAAAGCTGCAGTTTCAGCAATACCGTAACAATAATGCCCATGATGACTGATCTGTTGTTATTGTGAGTTTCAGCAGATTCCCCAACACCCAATTCTGGTTGTAATAAGGGATTCAGTGGATTAGTGGTCAGACTCAGTTGACTTCATGTCATGGTACCCCAATGGCATGTATGGGTGCTCACAATATCAACCACTGGTCCAGATTTTACCACCATCATGAAGCTAGAATATTGTTGTGTGGCTTGAAACAACAAACACACTTATGATTTGACCATTTCGAACACTTGATTATTATATTTTTTATGGAAAGTGCTGTGGCCTTTTAGAGGAAACATGTCTTCTGCATTGAGTGTTTAACTGACCAGGCGCTGACCAGTTGTAACCAAATTTTAAATGTTATATATGGTTTTTGCTTGTTATCCATTAGTGGAGCAGTCTTTGAATTCTTAGTTTTCCTGTCTTTATATTCCTGCAGGAAGTCTTTCAGCGCCATCCACTTCACACCATTGCACAGCTGATTCACTACAATGATGGTTTTGGCAAACAGAACATTGCACTGAAGATCGGTCAAGTTGGGAAAATCGTCAACCAGTGCTACCAGTGTTATATCTTCCAATGCCACACAGAGGTAGGTCAGGTTTTAACCATCGTCAACCAGTGTTGTACCTACCAATGTAGGGCCAGTGAAGATCTGGTTAGAATTGGTCTTCAGCAACCCATTCTTGTCGTAAAAGGCAACTAATGGGAACAGATGGTCAGGCTACTACTCTAGTTCCGTACATCGATGCTCATGCTGTTAATCATCGGATTATCTGGTCCAGACCCGAATATTTACAGACTGCCGCCATATAGCTGTAATATTGCGAATTGGCATTAAACAACAACCAACCAACCTACCCATGTAGGGCCTTGTTCATTCACTCTGTCAGGCTGGAATAGGGTGTCGTTGTCTACTTCTTGTCATAGAAGTAACTAACTTGGATTGTGTGATCAGGATTGATGACTGCATTGATTGTCATCATATGTTTTGCTGATATCATTCACTAGTTTGTCAGACCCAGACTCAATGAGGTATTTCAATGAACTTGACAAATCTTATCCCAATGTTCTTATTTCAGGAAGAGGCAAATGCTATTTGCCAGTGTGTGAGGAGACTCTTTGATGCCATCACTGCTAAAGCATGAACAAGTGATGGATATCTCACCTGAGAAGTCTACATTGTGAGTGAATGAGTGAGTGGTGTGGCTGTTTCATGCTATCACAGCTGTAGCAGGACTATTCCTTAGACAGCTAATCATGCAGGACATTTTGAGTGATGGATTGAGATGTGAAGCTGTTTGATGCTGTTTCTGCTAAAGCATGAATAATTCTTGGACATCTCGACTTAGTGAATGATGGTGTGAGTTGTGATGCTGTTTCATGCCATCACTGCTAAAGCTTGAACATTTATTGGACAGCAAGCCACTGATGACTAGTTGTGAGGAAACATGTATTGGACAGCAAGCCAGAGATGACTAGTTGTGAGGAAACATGTATTGGACAGCAAGCCACAGAGGACTAGTTGTGAGGAAACATGTATTGGACAGCAAGCCACAGAGGACTAGTTGTGAGGAAACATGTATTGGACAGCAAGCCACAGAGGACTAGTTGTGAGGAAACATGTATGTTATTTCACTGCTAGTCAGCATCATGAGCAGGACTTGAACCAGTGACCTGTGATATTGACATGTCGTCAACATGAGATTCATTTCATTGATGGAGGATCACCAAACTATTTGTTTAAAACATTGTTGAATTGTGCCTTGTGTATATGTGAACTGATGATATATTATTATCACAAATATTATGAGCATCTGTTACATTTGAAATAATAAAATACTGCAAATACTTCAACCTTTTTGTCTTCTTCATTATGGACAGGAAATGGCTAAGGATCATCTTAACCCACCATCAAAGTTAATTTTAAAAACTTAAAGATGTTCTTGAATAAACATGCAATAGGCAATGGAGTCAATGTTACTCACCCAGCTTGCTGAAATGTTTTACCTCGATGGTCGTGTGGTCATGGCGTCAAGCCTCCGTGTTTGTGAGAATGTCATTGATTCAAATCCCGGATTCAGAATTAAAAGAAACAACTGATTTTGAAACATATGGACCTGTTATTGAGGATTTAATTCCCACACGATAATTTGGAATACAACATTGAGATATCCATTCATTGGCTTATACTGAAATGTTAGAGCAACATGTCATGAAAACTCAGAAGTGAGTACTTGTTGAGAAAAACTGTTAGTTTCCAAGCATTTACTTTTCAATGGACCCATGAAGATTCGGGTTCGGATTGGTCTTCAGTAACCCATGCTTGTCGTAAGAGGCAACTAACAGGATCGGGTGGTCAAACTCGCTGACTTGGTTGACACATGTCATCGTATCCCAAATGCGTAAATTGATGCTCATGCTCTTGATCACTGGATTGTCTGGTACAGACTCGATTATTTACAGACTACCGCTATATGGCTTGAATGGTTCACATATGGTTCACGCAGAAAACTAGGTATTAAAGATAAATACATGAAAACAAACTGAAAAAGATCTATTTATTAAGCATTTATATTGCTTGATACAGTTTACAGTTAGCAACATAAATTCCCTAATCACGGTACCTTATGCACATATTTACACAATATCATCTTGCGCCTCTCTCTAATTATGCACTAGCTGATGACAAACATCAATGGTTACTCAAGAGGTTTACAATGAACACATAAACAATCTTATATGGCTCTCAGGAGTTTGTTTCCCCTCCACAGTCCACAGTGTATATGCACTCTGAAACCTTATCAATCCAGACAGTACTGTACCTAGAGTAATTGCCAGAATTAACAAACAGCTAATGAGTATCCGTACAAAGAAGTGTGCATTATTGTCAGTAGTTCCCAAGCATACGTTAAGTTGTGTTCCTGGATCAACAATGGTATCCGAACTAATGGCACTGTTTTCAAAAAGATATTTCAGGGTCATTCTCACAGCGCTCATGTTTTACCTTGTCAAGGCAGATCAGAAATAGTAACATGTCTTGTCTGGCCTTAAACTATGTATTTTTCATCATAAAATATGCTACTTAAAAACATCATGATTAAGTATACATATAGAATAAAAAGCAAGCAGGTAAAAATATTCACATCTACAGAAGATGTCTTATCTAAAAATGGGTTTAGAATGAATAAGTAGCATCTAAAAGTGACATAAAAAAACCAACTCAAACCTGTTGACATGAATCTCAACCCACTAATACACCTCTGGTTAGGACAGTCTATGCCAGAATGTTAAAGGTCAACAACATCTTGGTGTATAAGGCATATTCCTGGGACATAATGACTAGATACCCAAATGCCAGTACTTCACAGCTTCTGCATACACTATACTTTACTCTATTATCTGAGACTCGTGAAGATCCGGGTTAGAATTGATCTTCAGTAACTCATGCTTGTCGTAAGAGGCGACTAAGGGACCGTTCATAATTTATGGCTAGTGGGGGTGATGATGATTTTTAGGGGTGGGGGTGTCACCCATTTTGTTCTGGCGCGAGCTAGGGGGGGGTCATCAATTTTGTTCCTAAAACTATATTTTAAAATTATGCTTAGAAATTATGGGTAGTTGGGGAGAGGGGTGTGTGTGATTTGTCATTAATTTTGTACATGACATGCAGGGGGTCACTTATTTTGTACATAAATTTTAGGGGGTCATTCACATTGTACATGCTTCTCCATAAAAACATCATCACACACACACACACACACACCCAAGCCATAAGTTATGAGCGGTCCCTAACGGGATTGAGTGGTCAGGCTCGCTGACTTGGTTGACACACGTTATCGCACCTCAATTGCGTAGATCAATGCTCATGCTGTTGATCGCTGGATTGTCTGGTCCAGACTTGATTGGTTATTCTTTGACAGGCTGAAAGGACAGGAATACATAACACCTTTTTATGGATAACAGAAGTATGATCTATGTGACCATGGTGTTTAGTTTTATTGTGGAGACGCATTTTAACATTTTAATCACTGAAAATTTATGCCACAACAAAAAAATGGTTTTGCACTTATTTCAAATTGAGAATGCAATAAGCAATTTTGTTTTGAGTAATGGCTGTTGGAAATATATGTTTTAAGCAATGATTCTGGTTTATAAAATGACCAGTTACAAGGACTAAACTTCATTATTTTGATATTTTGGAATAGTTCTTTAAGGCTTTGTATCTTTAGGCCAAATATTTTTGGAATACTCCAATATTTACAGATCACTGCCATATAGCTGGAACATTGCTGAGGGCGGCGTCAAACACCAATCCGTCAACTGTGTATTCTATATTTAGTCATTATTTTGTGGGCATGTAAAACCTCAGAGCACTTGAAGTACTTGAATCCCTTAATCTTCGACACAATGGTTTTTGACTGTAATCAGTTCATACTGGCCTTAAATGCACCATAAATAGTTCTGCTTCTGATAACAAGAGGTATCTTGATCTTCTTGAGATATGAAAGTGACTCATCGGACTACACAGTCAATTGAGAATCTTAGTTTTTATCACAATTTGCCATTTCACAGAGTAACAGCAAGAATATCTTTAAACATAATTCAACTAAGGAAATAAAAAACTTATTTAGTATCATTAAATTAATTGCTATAACAAATTCTGCAGTTACTAGTATTCATATAAAGTATTCAGCAGATGGCAATGATTTGGGGTGTTTCTTTGCAAACTGTTGATGCATTGTGATTGTCCATAGCCAAGTGACAAGTTCAAACAATATTGACATAAGTACCGCTACATTAGACTACTGATGGGGACTGTGGGGCAGCCTAGTGGTTAAAAGCATTCGCTCGTCATTCCGAAGACCCGGGTTCGATTCCCCACATGGGTACAATGTGTGAAGCCCATTTCTGGTGTACCCTGCTGTGATATTGCTGAAATATTGCTAAAAGCGGCGTAAAACCATACTCACTCACTCACCTCTGATGATTAAACGGACATAATAAAATGACAATTAATAAATGAATTTAAGTTAAAACTTTTACCATTCTCCTAAAGCTCACTACTGAACCTAAGGAAACAGTAGAGGTGTCAGGTCTTTTTGTAAATTAATGCCATTAAAACACAATGGGAAGGTAATGATATTAATTACATTATGTTATGTAATGCTTCTGTGTAGCGCTTGAAACTACTTCAACAGTTAAATGCCTCAAGCATCAATACAACACAAAGCATACTGCATATATCACTTATGCTTCCTCATATTGTATCATATCATATATTACATGTATGACATACCATGTATCACATCAGGTTCCATATTACATAGCGTATGCATCATATTCACATATTTTATCATATCCTACCTGGTATATATTAATGTATAACATATCCGATCATGCATCATATCCCACATATCAATAGCTTTCCTATCGTGTAACATATTTTTCACACAACCAAGGTGTACATGGTACAAGGCTTAACATATGTCCGCAGAGATACATTAGCATAACATTACTTGAAAGATAAAGAGACATTTCTTCCATATAAATGAGGATAAAAAAGAACTGAGACTCAATAAGCACATGTATACAAGTCTAAAATGTGTTGATAAAACTAAGTAGATAAAACATATATACAATGCTTATGTACAACAATGATTGATATCATGCATTGTGTTTGATAGCATGCATTAATGTAGTTGATGTCATGCATCAATGTTTAAGATGAAAGAAGCACAGCTCTAATAACAATGTCAGCAACGTAATACGTATGGTGTGTCTTGATCTGTAAATCCAACACCTAAACACACCCTATACTGGTACACCTGAACCCTCTCCATTTCAGCACACCCAAACCCACCCGTGGTTCTCCGGATACTTTCAGACACTGTGCAAAACAGCCACCTGTCTTTTGGTCTGCAGCTAGTAAACTTTGTTGGACTGAGAATCTGAAATCTCTCTAGCCCAACTGACTAGTGAATATTTAATGGTGATTTGTTCCTTGCTATGTAGATGTAAGTCAACCTCAAACTCCAGCTAGTGAAACTTGATGTTGGCCAGTAACTTTCAAGGCCAGCTAGGTAAAAAATACTGACCCCTGGTCAGTAAGATTTTGAAATTATTTCACACAATGCTTTCAATGCTGTTGAAGAGCCGTAATAATTTCACATGAATCCCTGAACAATCTTTTCCAAAGACATCTGAGTCTACAAGCTTAAAGAGATACATTTGTATCATTCTCAGTGTATCTTCCGTAGTATATGGACAAATATAAGCCAGTTTGATGAGACTAGTTTACTAGTATCACTTTGGACTAGTGACTTATGTTGCTGACTGATGCATACATGATCAGCTTGGATGGCAAAACGGGTCAATAGATCTAAGGCACACAATAAATATGCTATCACATCCCATTTCCCCAGATTAAATCTGACGTTACGTTTTTACGTTTATATACATTGCGTGTGTTGTCTTAGACAAAACATTAATGAATATGTATATGTACAATAAACAACAACAGCAGGTATTAACATGTAATGTATATGCAATGGTTGTGTAACTGTGACGTCATGATTCAAGTTCATTTATCTTTGAATAAACTGTAACATTTAAAAAAATATTCTTCAAACACATATGACTCAACAGATGATACAAATTGTGTTACTGTGTTTCAGAAAATATATTATGATGTAACAAAAAGAACCTTGTAGGCCATGCTTTCCCAATTTTGAAAAAAGTAATCATGAAAAACAAATACATACTTTTTGGGTTGACGAGTATACCATAACAACTGCTAAAGCAAAACAAGCATCACTAAAATGGTCTGTTTGATTCTAAAGGTATTTTTGAAACACCTGTTTCTTTGAATGTCATGAGAAGTTCTGACAAGATTGGACATCTCTGCCTGGTAGATCCACAACATTTTCAGAAACCCTGCTTGAAATTTTAGACTAAATTCTACAGGCACTGTCAGAGGTAATTCTCCTTTGGGCAGTAATAAGGCACAGGAACTTGCCCCAAGCTTCAGTTACTAAATGCTTTAAAGGAGTTTAAGTATTTTTCTTCCTAACCCTCAACACAAGCAAAAGACATCTTTCTATTTTTCGTATGCAATTTCACCTTTGCATGACATTGTTTACAAGCTGGAGGTGAGCCCACAAGTGCTGGTTGTCTAAGGTGCTGCAGTTTGCGGAGTTATGTCCCTTAGGTCTGCCAGAAACCTATGATTGAGGGTCTGGATTCCAGTGATTCAAGCTATAAGCAGATATGGTCCCTAATTAGCGTGTAGTTGTAGATCCTATGTTTAAAGAACACCGGAATATTCTGGATTTCACTACCAGAATCAACCTGATCAAACATTAAATGAAAGGCACATCAATAATTATCAATTCCATGCATGAAGTTTTCAGGGTTGGTTTCCACATCCACGCTGGCATCAAGACGAGCGATGTGATCTGTGACCATGTTGAGAATCTGTTCCACGTCATCAATGTTGCCATTGCTGATGGTGCTCGCTGTTGACAGTTCACTGACTGACCTTCTGCTGGAACAAACACATCATGCCTGAAGTCAACTTGAAAAAAAAACACAAGAAATTCTTCTCAAAATATTTCAGCTGTAAGAATTCATTCATTTGGTCCCATATCTAACATGATGCTAAGCTCTCAGATTGATTGGTTGGTTGGTTTGTTTGTTGTTTAACGCTGCACTCAGCAATATTCCAGCTATATGATGGTAGTCTGTAAATAATTGAGCCTGGACCAGACAATTCAGCAATCAACAGCATAAACATCGATCTACGCAGTTGGGATACGATGACATGTGTCAACCAAGTCAGCAAGCCAAACCACCCGATCCCGGTAGTCGCCTCTTACGACAAACATGGGATACTAAAGACCAATTCTAACTGGATCTTCATGGGTGCTAAGCCCTAAGAACCCATATTGTATCTTAGCATTAGGTCATTGTATTGCCCCAACACTTAGGATCTCTTGAAGCAGAAAAGATAAGCTGACTTAAAATGTTTTGGGGGTGGTAATCTGTAAAGTGTAACAGTCTCCTCCCCATTCCAATGCCTGATCTGCATGCTACATAGAAGCCATTAATTATTACGTGTACATTCTTGTGTTACTCCTGGAGCTGGAGAGCGTTCCATTCTCAGGTATGTTGATGCCATTCTTTCGGAGGAAGTCCACAAACTGACCATAGTCCGCAGACGGGATGAAAGGACTCATTTCTAGAAAACCAATATTCAGTACTCAGTGTTATGACTACACTGATTCCAAGTCGAGCCAGTAATATCACACATCAATGAGGATCATGCAAGCGGCTTCTTGATAGTCACTGGATTGACAATTCACTGAAATTTTATTAAACAAACGGCCATGTTTTTCCTGATTTTAATGTTAAATAACTTATCATCAGGCTTGCAAAGTCATCCTCAATCTTCAATTTTACACAGCTTTTTATCAATATTCTAGCAATATCGCTGAGGGGGACACCAGAAATGGGATTTAAACTTTGTAGCCATGTGGGGAATCAAACCCAGGTCTTCAGCGTGACGCGCAAACCATCATTAGTGAACAAACATGGTTCAGCTACATTGGTCCAACAGTTTCTAAGAAGATGTCCAAAACAGATGAAAGATGATTTTCCAACATGGTTGTTGGGGACATATTTCAGGTAAATCCATCAAGCTACTTAGAAAAATAAGTCAGAAATGTAAAGTGCTTGCAAATGAAGATGACTTACTAGAGACGATAACAGATGACTATCTGACTGACTGACTGAGTTTGGTTTTACGCCGCTTTTAGCAATATTCCAACAACATCACGGCGGGGACACCAGAAATGGGCTTCACACATTGTGCCCATGTGGGGATTCGAACCCGGGTCTTCGGCGTGACGAGCCAACGCTTTAACCATTAGGCTACCCCACCGCCCCAGATGACTATCTACACATGGATATGTGAGCTGAACTAAATAATACCCACCTGCCAACAAATGTTTTCTATCTGCACCATAAAGTTGTAGCACTTGTTCACAGAATTCTCCAATTGGCAGTTCATTATGCCAGTCCCGCAGGAGTTCAGCAAAATGCCGCAATTCATCCGGATTCAGTTTTTGATGCAGCTGAAATATTTCATGTGAGGGTCAAACAAAGGCCAGAAAATATTCTGCTTCCTCATGATATCATTTTACAATAATTAAATCATTTATGTTATGTTCCTCTATGTTACATGAAGGAACTATTTCAGTTCCACAATGTGATCTCAGCACCACAACTGTAATAAGCTTTAAGGTATGGGAGTTACAATCATCTTAGCACTAAGATCAGGGCCTCGTTTCGACTGTCGTAAGTCTATGTTATAGTATAGGAGGTATGACAGCTTGGAGAATGGGACCCTCATGAGAAAAGATCGCTGCTGTCTATCAGATATTGTTAAATCATAAGACTGTTTCATATATTCACATTCCAATGTTATTATCCACGAAGATTTAGTGTTATGCTTTATGATATGCAGTAAAGTAAAGGTAGGCAAAGTAGTTATCAAACATTTTAAACAGCATTTCAATCAGCCTAATGATGTGAGAAAAGCCTAAATTCAATTTACACACATTGTAGATGTTCATTTGGGTCAAATCCAAAGGTATAGGACAGGAATCAGGGCAAATGAATCTGGCAATCATCAGAGTTAAGATTTCAAAACCTGGGCTTCAGTGACTCACACATGCAAATGTATGGGGCCATCACCAATTTAATTAAAAACCTTATTCATGTGACCTTTCAATGGGCAAGGACTTCAACTGTTGTCAATGTGGAATTTTGAAGCAGAGAATATATGGGTAAATATCAGTTACTTCCAAGAAGCAATATCAACAATATTGAAGGAATGAAGTTTGTTAAGTTTTAGTGCAGAGAAAGAAAAGAGTGAGTGAGTGAGTATGGTTCTAAGCCGCTTTTAGCAATATTCAAGCAATATCACGGCAAGGGACACCAGAAATGGGCTTCACACATTGTACCTGGGCCATCGGCATGAGTGAACGCAAGGCTATTCCACCGTCCCGAGAGAAAGAAAAGAGCCACCTGTGAAGATATATTGAGAACATACTAACTTTAAACATGTAGTCTTTGACCAGATCGGTGGGGATGCTGACATCACTTCCCCTCGTACTGTTCTCACTCGGCACCCGCTCTTGTCCACGTGGTGATCGTCTAGGGATGGAATCTTGACGAGTTGGCAGATCTAGATTTGATGATGTTAAACTGAAAGAAAACCCACACCATATACGATAAACAAAATTCAAACATTCTCTTCTCAGCAGCTCAGTCACTTCAATTCAAATGTTATCTAGTGGTCTGCCATTTGATCTTGCATGATAATTTTCATATAAATATTTTAGTTTTCATTTATTTTTAGTTTACAATTTGCCATTATCAGTGGGTCCTAATGACCCATGTTTGTAAACAAGGTAGAACCAGAGGCAACGTGTCCAAATACATATAATGTATAGATATTTACAATGATAATTACAATTCATCTTACTGGAAACTGAAGTCATATATTGAGTGTTACATAAAGCACAACACAAGAGGATGCATAATCAACACAAGACAAGCATGCATAATTTCAACACAACAGGAAACTTACAATGAAGGACGTGCACCATGTCCAAAGGGAAAGACTGTAGTCGACTCTGAAATTGTTTCTATGAGATAAAAAACTATTAACAGCAACTGTTCTTCAATATTTATACAAGCAATTTGCAAGAATGATATAAAAACAGTTATCTGGTTCAGAGGGAATGGCCACTGTGAGATATCAGTTGGGAGTAAATGACTTGGGTTGAATCAGTGTAGGAAAGATAGCACGTCCCAGCGTCCGAGACGGGTGAATTTTGTGGAGGACGGGTTAAAAAAATATCTAGTCCGTCCTCATGTCGGGTCAATTTTAGCAAACCAATGACATATATATAATACTTATAACCTTTTTGAATATTTACTGCCGAAGGTGTTCTATTTATATTTGGAAGACAGGCTAGATTTTGGCAGGACTGGTAAAAAATTTGACCTGCCAGTCCTGTGGACAGGCTAGATTTTCTACATCTTTCCTACACTGGTTGAATGCTGCTCTAAAACCTATTTCATTTATGCTACAGCATATCAGTTATAGTCTGGCAGAAAACTTTTCGTGACGGTGTTTGGTCACTTTACTCAAAAACATACAAGTACAATCGTTTTCTAATTTGGCACGATGCATTATATTGTGAATTTTTAATTTCATGAATTATGATTTAATAATAAAAAAGCTGTTTAACAAACTATCATTAAAATATTGACACAGTACACTATTTGTTACGAGGGAGGAGTGCAGAGAGAGGAACAGCCAGGTATGCGAGAAAGGCTCAGCACAGGTAAATCAATCAAAAGTGATCAAACACTGTCACATAAGGTTTTCTGCCAGACTATAAATCCTGTAAATGATGGGGAAGCCCAAGGTTGGTAAACTTTAGGTCAAGGTCACTTTTAACACTTTAACCACAAGGTCACCAAAGATGGGACAAGGTGAATGAGTATCTACTCCATTTTAGCCATATTCCAGCTATATCCCAGCCATATTTGAGTAATATCATAACAAGAACTCTAAGAACAGGCTACATATATTGAAGCTGTATGGGGAATTAAGCCAATGTTTCTGTGTAAAGACAAAATGGTTGAACCACTTGGTTACCCCTATTTCTCCATTTCAGTTCAGCACTGTGGAGATTCCTTGTTAGAATAGTCCCCAGCAACCTCTTCTGGTTATTAGAGGTATCCAAAATAGATCAGGCAGTTAGTGACATAACTTGATTGATTGCCATTGAACCTCGAAAACATGGATGAGTACACATGATATCAATGACTGGTTTGTCTGTTGCAGACTTAATATTTACAGCCCACCGTCACATGGCTGTGGTATTGCTGAGAGTGACAATCAGTAACACATATTAACAAACAATTAGATGATACACTATTTCAAAGTACACATGGTAGGAGAGAGAAGAAACTAACCAACAATTTCTGAATGTTAATTATCTAAAACCCAGAATGGTAGATTACTGAGTATTTGAAACCAAGTTCAGCTCAACCATACCAAACATAAATCTGAGTTTCACAATACAAGTTTCAGAAAAAAAACCGTCATGAATATGTTTTTCAAATTTGAGAGACCTACCACCACATCTGAATACTGATAAAATGTCAAATATGTTACAAGTTGCATCGACAGTACCCCAGTTGATCCGCTGTGAGATGAGTCGAATCTTTGGGGACCAAGTAATAAATTGGTCGTGGTTCCAGGGATCTATGAGGGGTAGAGAATCCAGCAGTTGCATGGTGGCCTCTGTATACACCAGCTGGAAACACTGGCCAATCAGAGCACACAGTTCCTCTGCTGCTTGCTGATGACAACCAATCAGAAGACAGTATGTCAGTAGGATACTTTACTACCTTATATATCAGGGCCCATAACTGAAAGCATGCCACATGTACACAAGCAACTCTGTGAAACTATTTACGGTACGTTTTATTTTTACATTGCAACATACCATTTGCATACTAGAAATATATTTCATGGCATACAGAGTACTGCACAGCAGCCAATGGAATACCACTGAACAGGGCTTGGCACCCTCTGTAAGGAGATCTGCTATATAGTTGATTTTTCAACTTTGGTGTTACACAGTCTGATGTAGAAGACTTCTGTCACAGAACGAAAACTTTAAAATCCTAGTACACCTATGTCTTACCTTTGTATCACAGTAGAGAACAGACAAACTGCACTCCTCAAGTGTTCCTTGAAGAAAGGACAATGTAAGAAATGTCAGAATACATACTGACAGAATAAATTGTTTGGTATACGTCATCATTAACAATATTATTATGGCGACATGTTGATAACTGAGATTGCCAGATGAATATAGATTGATTTAGGTTAATATCAGCACCATTTTATGCAATCAATCAAATCATCTTGCAAATTCTGTTGTCCTCTTTTTATATAGTTTGAACATCACCTTAGGAAATAATACATTGAATGACAGAAAGGAAAAAGAAAATGAGAAATTTATGTTTATTATCTTTGGTCACTCAACCCATTCTGTTTTCTTCACATATGTATATTCTGAAAAATGTCTTCATTGTCTTCATTATGTAAAGCTGCGTTGCATCAGTTCAATGTTAACATCACAAGTATCTTCAATAAATAACAATAGTGTGTACATTAACTGTAGGGGTGAAATGGGATACCGCGGTTTTAGTAGAACCGTGGTATTTTGCCTTCGGTTCAGTTTACCGTAATGTAATCCAAACATTCGGTATTTCCAGTTTTCATACCGTCATATGTTAACCTTTTAAAACCTTTTAAAAAATGTCTAGAAATCGAACCATTTTGTCAAAATCTATATAGGTTTGGCTCTTTTTGTCAGTTTTCTGCATTATGATCATATGTCATGTACTGAACCCAAAAGGACCAAACCGAATGATTTGTACTGCCATACGTACCGCACCGTGGTAGGAGCATACCGTTTCACCCCTAATTAACTGTTTCAAGCTCAATATAAGAAGGACCTCAATAAACAAAGACATGAGGCTCAATTGTAACCTTTTCTAAAGAGTAGTATACATATTTTTTAATTCATTGCCATGTCTTAATTTTGTATGTACAATGTTATTTTTTTCCAAGCACATATTGCCATTAACTCTCATGACACACAGCATAGTGATGGGAACATATTCTATGCAGGAGTGATTGGTCTAGACTGAAGAAGTTCATGATTACTGCACAGCCCTTCATTTTATGGGAAAATAAGATCTAAAAGCAGTAACAATAAGGAGTTACCTAAACACAACCTACCATGTTTGAGTGCTAGAATATGCTGGCCATCATCCTTTATGTAACACACAGCTGCAATCTCATGCATTGGTATCCTTAGCAACAGATCCTGGAAAAGGGAGATAACTCCATCAGAACAGTTGAATCCTTAGCTAAAATATTTGCACACTTGGTTAAAACAGAGAGGAGTGAGTGAGTTTGGTTTTACGCCGCTTTTAGCAATATTCCAGCAATATCAAGGCAGGGGGACACCAGAAATGGGCTTCACAGGTTAAAACAGAAGAAAATTCCAATGTTGTCAAAACATCATGTTTTTTATGATGTATGATGGTATATATGATGAATGTGACAAAGACATTTCAAAGACATTCAATAATACCTCTGACTGGTTGTATCGGCTGATCTTGATGTTGTTGACACTCAAGCTGAAGATGGCTTCATGCTCGTAGCCAACTTTTGGTGGGATGAAGCCTTGTTTCTGAAATGACAAATGACATCCCAAAAGCTGTTTTGATTGATTGACTGGCCAATAATAATCTCCTAGCTGTTTGTGTTGACATGATAGCAACTTATTGGTATTTGGGTTGAACATTAATGTGTACCAAGTCTAGTTTAGAATAGTGGTTACAATACAGGATCCATTATGTTATCATGGTTACCATAATGATAATAAGAAATTTAAGACATAAACTTATACAGAAACAAAAATTAAATTTTGAAAAATGTTATGGTGTATCCCTGTGTTACCCCTATCCACCATTGCAAACTGGCAGTGCTATCTCAGAATGTGCTTTCTAAATGTCTCACCTTTCCCTTGTCGATGACTCGGAGGACATCGGTTCGGTTTGTGATGTCGATGTCAGCTACCACCCCATCGATCATCCCCGCATACTACAACACAAGATGAAGGGTTCGTTTAGTAACTGGATGAAACCACTATAATGATGAGGTCACAACAAAATGTACCAGATTGGGGACAGTTCATAATTTATGGCTAGGGGGGTTGATGATGATTCCTATGGAGAAGCATGTACAATGTGAATGACCCCCCTTAAATGTCATGTATAAAATCAATTACCCCCCCCCACACACACACACACACATTTCTGCTTCCCATAAGTTTTAAGCATAGTTTTTAAATATTATTATGTACAAAATTACTGACACCCCCACCTCCCCCAAGTACATGCATACAAAATTGATGACCTCCCCCTACCTCCCTACAAAATGGGTGACCCCACACTTAAAATCATCATCACCCCCCTAGCCATATATTATGAACGGTCCCTTATATTCATCACTGTCCATCACAATACAAAACATCCAGCATATCATCATTATATTGTCTCCAAATGCCTCCAAACAAACTTTCAATGTAAATCTGAACCTTTTCAGAACACAGCATCAATTTTCAGTAGAGTTTGGTGTCAAAAAGGATTACAAGACAGAAAGGAATGTTACTACTAATACTAGACTCAGGTATTGCCATCATAGCAAAAGTTACAGATTGCAATGTGTGTACCTTTCCTTCTTTTCATAATTATACATAAATAAAACAATTAATTGCTCCACTGTTTACATAGTTTTCTGTACAAGCCAGCCAACGAATACATAAACCTGGGTCTTAACAAGATGGATTGACCAAATAGTTAGATTTGATGTAAACAACTACAACAAACAAGCAGTTGTCACGAAGGTGACATAATCCCCCAAAATTTCAAATCAAACTTAAAGAGTAATGAAAGTGAAGGTCGTAGGTTAAGATGAAGTTAAATGTCAACAAAATCATGACCAGGGCTCCAGATAATTTTTCAACATCAGGAGTACGTACTCCTTATTTATTCAATATAGGAGTACTGGAAAAACTTAAAGAGTACATTTCGATTACAGAATGGAATTTAATTGAGTATCAGTAAGCTTCTGTTTCATTTCATATATACACCACAACATTGCTACTCTTGTGTAAACAGGTAAGAAAAACAATAAAACAAAAACAATTCAGTCTGTAAATGATTCTAAGACCATACACCATTAGCTGTGGTGCGTATCTGCTACGTTTTCTAAAATTATTTCCTACCGTATCGTGCATATATTTTATCCGTACATACGCCAATACGGACCCAATCTGGAGCCTTGCATGACCAGTCAACCTATCTTGCTCAGCTCTGTAGCTGTTGAAACATTTTCATTGCTTATCAAAAAACATTCAAGAGAAGTCTTGAAAGTCTATGAAGAAAATCCAGTTAGAACCATTCTTGAGATATCTTGCTGACAATCTTAACATATTGAAATCTTCAAAGTGTTGATGTGACCTTGAAAATTATGTGAAGGTCGCCAAACTCAACTGGACCCTGCGCCTTCCCTATATGAAGCCTGGTGTCAAATGTGATGAAAATCCAGTGAATGGTTATTTGGATATCTCGCTGACAAGCTTAACATGCAGGCTAACATGCTGAAATCTTCAAAGTGTCGTTGTGACCTTGAAAATTATGGGAAGGTCACCAAAATCGACTGGGCCCTGCACCTTCCCTATATGAAGGTACAAATTTGGTGTCAAATATGAAGAAAAACAAATGATTGGTTCTTGAGGTATCTCACTGACAAGCTTAACATGCAGGATAACATGCTGAAATATTCAAAGTGTTGTTGTGACCTTGAAAAATTCGTGAAGGTCACCAAAGTCAACTGGGCCCTGCGCCTTCCCTATATGAAGCCTGGTGTCAAATATGAAGACCATCCAGTGAACGGTTCTTGTGATATCCCGCTGACAAGGGTAAAACGTTAAAGTCCCCTTGTGACCTTGAATTGAAGGTCAAGGTCACCAAACCTGATTTGGACCTTTCTTATACTGTGATGAACCTAGGTACCAAGTATGAAAAGAATCCAGTCAATGGTTCTTAAGATATTCTAATTCATACGTACGGACGGATGGATGTACGTACAGACGGACAGAGCCAAATACTATATCCCCTGCTTCGAGCTAAACGTGCGGCGGCTGATAATTAGGCAAGTTATTTACATAAAGAAAACTAAAACAAAGACAACAAAAACTACAACAACAAAAATAATAACATTTACAAGTACTTAACTTGCACAAGCACCATGCATGCTGCATTGTTATTACCAAAGAGATTGTTCCTTGAAGAGGAACCTGCACGTGTGCCACCTACAGACTTTACACGACAGATTTGAACTCACCTTGACAACCTTCTCTACATTCTCCTCAATGAGATACTGAGGTTTCACGTAGTAGTCCGGAGGTTTGAGATCGTAGCTGTTGAGCACCCGTCGGCTATACATGCCCATCTCCTCGCGGGGGCCCCGACCACGGTTCAGTTGGTTGCTGAAGAAGCCCTGGAAGAGCAACAATAACGTGTGTGAGTTGAGTTTAACTCAGCTTTCAACTGAATGTAAGTGATTTGATGCTTAGATTTCTTGGCTTAAGGGACGGAGTAATACAGCAATTGTGTTTGATTATGAATCTGGAAACGACAAAATATATTTTTCCAGAGTTGGATGATTTAGTTTCAAAATCATGGACACCAGAAACGAGCTTCACACATTGTATACATGTGGGTAATCGAACCCAGGTCTTCGGTGTGATGAGCAAGTACTTACACCACTTGGCTACCCCACTGCCCCTACTTTGATATGAACCATCATGAAATGAGAAACATGTATAATAATAAAAATGTAAAAATTTAACCTCATTGACAGCCAAATACATAGTGTCATATTCAGTATAAACACAACCATTATCACAAAGAGAGGCAGATACATAATACTATCACTTCCTGTAATATCTCTGTTTCCTAGTAATGTGTACATTAAAACATGTTTTACATCACTTGGTTTACAGTTACAACCCAACTCTTTACAAATGCATGAAAACATTAACAATTTCAGAAACCTTTTTCTTCTCTCTTGATTAAGTCTGTTAAATCATTGCAGAAATAATATAAGGTCAGACAAATTTTATTTCTTGTTTTACGGCTCTTTGTCCTCAGAAAACCGGCCTTTTAACCTAAAGGCAGGAGGAAAAAAACATGAACATAAAATCACCAGTCAAAGTAATATTCCTTCTAAATACTAAAAGTATTTTACTTTTGGCAATTTATGATGTGTATATGGGGCAAAATACAATTTAAAAAACATTATCTTGTAAGTTTACATTTTTGGCCAATAAAAACATTAGGATTTATTTTTTGAGCGGGGAAAAATAATACTTTTTTTTTTCTTACTCTTGAAAAATTACGACTGGCGGATCCGTAAAACAAGAAATAAAATTGGTCTGGCCCAATGTCATATAATGTGATGTGACGTGACATGAGGTGATGTGATTCCTTGTTTTGATAGTTTTAATAAAGTCCATATGGTTTTGGGATAAAAATCCGTGAATTAAGAGGCCCTAGTTGCTAACACTGATTATATGTAGCAGAATGTAAATATTGTGTATTTTAAACCTAAGTATATAATTTAGTTAAGCAATATAACAACCCTTTGAATTAACACAGCACTCTACTAATCCCTAGGTTAAGTTATGTAAGCCTGCAGGGGGTTCTATTCTTCTTCAGACTCCTGGTCCAGCCACGGCTTGGCCAGTGATTGATTTGCTATTGTTTCTAGAGCATGTGACCAGATCTGGAGTTTGATGTACCCCAACATTCTTTTCCCTGGTCACTGCTACAATTTCAACTCTGACTGCAACTATTTCAACTCTGTCTCCTTTATCATAGCACTGCACTTATTGGGGTAAGTTACTTTGGATGTCTTTGTATGTATATTATCATAAGGAGGTTAGGATATGATGTTTTAGTCTAGTTAGTTTATCATTTTAATCATAGGTCTGAAATATATTATGTGCTGTAATATCATCTACATGATGATATGATGTAAATATTTGATATGCTTAATATCATGACACACTATTATGTATTATGATTATTACACGTTTGGTTAATGTAGACTATAGTGTATACATTGTAGATTAATTACATATTATGGATGACATGAGAAAGAGTGTGTGTGTGTAATATAGCAGTGTAGGAAAGTGTAATATAGATTGTATTTAATTGTGTTATTTTATCTTTTGAATATTTACTGCCGAAGGTGTTTTATTTATATTAGGTCTTTGAAGCACTCATTTGCCACTGGTTGTTTACACTGGATATAGAGACTGTGGATTATATTAGGTCCCTGAAGCACTAAGCCACTGGTTGTTAGTAATTAAGTGCATGGGTTATGTTCTCAATGTTATGTTACATATCAGATTTTCATCTGTATGACTGTAATTTGTAAGATAGGCTTATATTTATACTTAAATTGAGTAACCCTTGTGGTGTGCAGAAAATATTAAATGTAATTATATGTTTACTATGTACTTGTTGCTGTATACCAGTAATTTGAGATGTTTATGTTTTATTTCAAGGGTTTTATCACCTCATCCATCATCCAAGACAATAAATCCCTGAACCCCTTACAAGTATTCGTCTGTTTTCAAATCTTGACGTGATACCGCTGTTACATATATTAATCACATTGGTCTGAGAATCTACATGAGCAGTGGAATCCTTGAAGGAAAGCAATTCCATATTTGTCATCATGGTCTCAAAAAATTAAAACGTTTCCCACAAAATGTATACATGGTGATCATAGCAATAGAGAATTAAGTAACATATATATTTTGAAATGTTTAGAATGATGATCGAAAATGTTGATGTGGCAGCCCATGTGAAACTTCACATCATTTCTTCATTGAATGTTATTTGAGGGTGTATTTTTTAGCCATTTAATGTGATGGTAACATTTAACTACCACTAGTTGTCAATGTAGTTGTATCTCATTATGTAACCATGACAACATGATATGTTTAAACTAAACCAATCAATAATTCACATTTGATCAACCTACAAACATTTATATCGTGTCAATACATAAACAAGGTCAATAATAAATACTGTCAGTACATAAATTGATATAAGGAAAATAAAATAGAAAAAGCATTGGTTTGGATGTCAGCATACTGTGAACATAATGTTAATATTATTAGCAGCAACCAGAAGACTGCAATAAGAATAAACACAATAAACATTCAAATATTAAAGAAACAAAACAATGTAGGCATAACACTAACCACTAGTCAACAACTTACTATTTTCATAAAAACAAATACCAAATATCCCTACCTGAATCACTATCCCCTATATTCCTCACCAATCTATCCCACATACATGCAATACCACAAGTTGTAGACGATGAACAGTGTTCACCCAGTTCATAAAGTCTAGCTGAAGTCTGCCCTAAAGTGCCCCACCCAAAAGGAACAAAAGATTAGATAATAAATTTTCCCTACAAACATACACTTTGCGCCCATCTGTCATCATACTCATACAACATTCGTGACAGGCAGATTATAAGATGGGTGGAGTATATGACCTGAATCTACTGGCAAGCATGTGAAGCCCACCCTAATTCAGCCTATGGAATTTCAAGACACAAATAGCATTTGTGCCGATGTTATGTTACACCATTGTGTTGACTTAGTAAATACATGGCGATGAGGGAGTCAACTGGTGCCGAACTGCTGGATTATTGTTGTCCTGTCATGATTTGTCATGATTTGTCACGTTTTGTCATGTTAATCAGTTGATAGGAAGTTTGATCTATTTCATTTTGAGTGACTGCTATGCTGCTGTTGATATTTTCAGCTAGAAGTGTTATGGAGACATTCAGGAGCTGTGAGTATTATTCACACACTTAATTACAGTCCATGGTTTTACGCAACACAGATATGTGCATTTCCTGTACGATAAAATATATAAAACAGACTGAGAAAGACACATATTGTGACCCGTTGGACACACAACTGTATTTATTGAACAGAAATCTTAATAATAAAAGTCTTCAGGTTATAGTAACTATTTAATCTTAGAGATAAATCTTACACTAAACCATTTTATTATTTTGCAGGGCAGTCATATTTCCTTTAAAGGACCATTTAAGGGACCTTAACTTAGTAACTGGGTTCATCCACAAGCCAAGACAGATCCTTGGTTGTAGCTCTGATAAGGGCCAGCTTAGTCAGCTTCATATCTGTTGTACGACTCAAGAGTTGGGTATAAAAATGAACGATTAGAAATCATTTTACAAGAGCACTGGCAAACACTATTTAGATAAATATACAAACTGATCTGGTCATGCATGCATAGTTCTAGAAAAAGGCAAACATTAGTGACTTGTAGTGTGATGTTTATTGTTAAGTCATTAAACAACATATCACATAACTAATCCCTGGGTACACGTAGTCCTAAGCATATGGTGTCCTACTCATTAAATGACCTGAGTACCTGAGTTAGCCAACATAGCCCTAGCTCTGGAGAATAATTTAATTTGTTCCATGCTGAACGAAGATAAAAAATCTGAATGATTAGTTTATAAAAATCCTAAAAATCACAATGTCAAAAACAAAATGATTACAATAAGTCTATACTCTTAACATTTTAAACTTTATCATCGTTTCATTATGTTTACACTACAATATGCATAAGCAAGATGACTGCTTGTTCTACAACTAAATATATTACAAACAAATAACCTGACAGAACAGTCAGACAACACTTACCATATTTGACATAGTTAGAACGCTGTTCCTAAGAAGCGCCAACTATCAGAAACATGTAGCATGCAGAGAGACCTTCCCCCTTTATAATAGTTCTCGTTATCAGGTGTACATACTGTTATTTTTACTCAAGCAAAAGGCTTTCTGTCGCTTGACAAGAATGTCATGCCCTTTAGACACATTAGCACAAGATATTTCAAGTCTTTCCATAGTTATGAAATGGATACCTGTTGATTGAAAGTTTTGTGTGATTTTAAACTTTCATCGCCTCGTACAACATGCAATGCGATGCAGTGGACACATTTTGAGGTTCAGGGGTCCATGAGCATATTACTTGGCTGTTTACATTAAGTTAAAACACATTGTTTTCTTTGACATCACCTGATGGTCAACCAAAATGTTCTAAAGATGTGTTCGTATTTTTAAGGTCTTACAACAAATCTGGAAGTTGAAATCTTTGTCATACATTATTTTGACTGATACATTTCATTTTAGGCCCAAAATTATGTAAAGTAGCTACCAAACTAACTAACAAAGAAAACTTTGATGTGAAACATCAACCAGGTGCCAACTGAGAATCATGGCAAAATGGCAAAAATTTAAATGCACAACAAAACAATTTCCTCAACTGTTTATTCAACACAGGCATGTTCTAAACAATTTGAACAACACTGGTTTCAATTCATTTCCTGTTTTACACAAGATCTACAATTTTTTTAATTACAATGTTAATAAAATCTTTACATACTGAATTTGATAAACATGTCATGGCTGACATTGACAAGCATTAAATTGAACTGTTCCACTCTATCTCCAAGCCCTTGTCCCACCCTACGTTAAACCGAAGAATCTCAGATCTGCAGACCAATCACTTCTTGTTGTGCCTAAACATACTCAGAACTTTTGGTCATAGATCCTTTCATTCAGCTGCTTTCCTGTGGAACTCATTCCCTACAGACATTAAATCTGTTCCAAATCTCTCAAGTTTTAAGTCTCACCTAAAGACATTCCTCTTTCTTCGCTACTGACTGTCTTGTGTTTGTGTTTAGAGCATGGGCAAGTGTTGTGGAGTCAAGCGCATTACTTATTACCTATATTATTATAAAGATAACGGTATTGAAGAATGCCCTATCAAACTTAATCATGAAAATGTCCTAGTTACATGGGGCTGAAACAAAAGCATTGAATATGGAAAACACTTTTTCTGATAACTAACCAACCTAAATTCAGTAATGGTTCAGCATTTTAGTGGTAGATAGAACAAAACATGAAACTTAATACATAGTGACAGGTCAAAATCATTCACTCTGGACTATACATACATCATAAATACATACATAATTTAATCTATACTAAGCCTGTTGTCTATTTGTGATATTTTCTTCTATGTCATTGCTAAGTCGTATTTGTGTTACAGAGACTGACTGGAAATTTTCAAGTTCTCTTGCTACTAAATGTTCCTACATGTAACTGCATCACTATTGAACAAGACAAGTTAAGTGGTACTGATATCACAGACTGTGCGATTATTTACAGACCGCTGCATTATTGTTGGAATATTGCTGAGTGAGGCATTAAACATGTTAAACAACTAACAAACCAAACAGACTGGTATGTGACAGAACTGTGATAAAACAGTATATGACTGGACCAGGGATTTACATGGAGCCCTGTATTTGAGGGTCCCTGGGAGTGGGACTCATACTCTTAATTTTCAGGGGTCCTGGACAACAAAATGGGGGTCCCAGACACTTAAATATTATTATTAATACTGCTATTGTATTGTGTATCATGATCATCACATTGTTACAGTAATTAAATTGCAAATAATACCATGACCCAGCTAGTTGCAAACTATTGATTGGAATTTTTACAAAAAGTATTTGGACTTTTTCTGAGTCCCTGTGGACACACTAATAAATTTTGTTGTGTCCATTGTCAATTTTTATGCGTATAGGACGCAGGAATTCGCGTACTGTAAATCCCTGCTGGACAGTTATTTTCAGAGTCATGTCAACTGTCATTTGAATCATGTAATTCAATAGGTCCAGTGTTTTTATCACAACAAAATGAACAATAGAACATCATTTATGATTCATCAGAAAAGCGGATATAAATGCAATAGTATCTGACAATTTTGAAAGCTTCAGTTTCAAGGAGTACACTTATGGGATTCAGCTTCCTTGTTATCGAAATAGTTTAGTGACTTCCTCTGAATGTCTGCCAAGAATGTTGTTGGTGACAAGTGTCAGGACATTTTCTTTATCATGCTCATTATTTCCAAACTTTGAATACTGTTTACCATCATCATCATTATTATCATTCATTTTCAGAGTGAGTGAGTGAGTTTAGTTTTACGCCGCTTTTAGCAATATTCCAGCAATATCACGGTGTGGACACCAGAAATGGGCTTCACACATTGTACCCATGTGGGGAATCGAACTCAGGTCTTTGGCGTGAACCACTAGGCTACCCCACTGCCCATTTCATTTTCAGAGGTTTACTAATGTTAACCATTGTTGAAGATGAAAACCTTTTGGGTAAAACATATCACTATTATTATGATTATTACCAGTGTTCAGAAATTCAGAATGCTGAGCCCTTGAGGTTTGCTAATGCAACAATTGCATATTTGGACACCTTAATCATGTACATATTTAGTAACAGGGCAATAGCACCGACTGACCAGTTGACTTTCATATTTGCATTATTGAATTTATCTGCATATGATAAACGATTTCATACACATGGTATACATGGCATAGGAAAATAATGTGTCACTGGCAGGCAGGCAAAGTTGGTTATCATACGAATATATTTGGTTAGGGGACGCAAATTGTCCTACCATACTCATTCAGTACTATATTATCACTGGTGTGCCAGGATTTAAAATGTTTAGAAAATACCAGAAAACTGAATTTGTAAAAAATATGCATTGTCATCAAAAGGCAGGAACATAGCCATCATTGTATACAACTCATTAAATTTGTAAAGATATCATGCGATAATGATAAGGCCCCCCCCCCCCAAAAAAAATGTTGTGGTTCCGATTTCCTACATTCAGAACTAGGGTAGTTGGTAGGTTGTTTGGGGTTTTTTTTGCAAAATATTTTTGTATTACTCATATGTCAGAAAATAAATTTAATTTATTATGTGGTGAGTAAAATTGTTAGGCTCGGCGGGAATATTTAGGGTCGGTCGGGAAATCGGAAGCACAAGCTTTTTTGTTTTAGGCCTCCCAGCTTACATAAAATGCATTTTTGATACTCTTATAAGTTATTACAACACAACTTATATATTGTCTAAATATTGACTGGTCATCATTTTATCAAGTTTAGAGGCCATTCTTTATTATGTTTTCGTTGGAAAAAACAGTAACAGAATCAATCTGAAATAATGAAGCGTCATAATATATCAAGCTAAAGTTGAAAAACGAATTTATGATCATGATGAATGTTGACAGGCCTGCTAAAGTCACATTTTGTAAAAAACTTGTGAATTATCATTTTACGGAATTAACACAACGGTCAAATGATTCATTTTGTCCCAGTTCATGGCCTGAGTTCTTAAAAGCATTTCTTTGATTTAGCATGAGTATTTTCTATTGACTTCGTTTTCACAAATGATTATTGACAACAGAACAGCTGATTGTTACGAGTTTCTACAAATTTAAAACATCGCTTCTCACCTTTTTTCTTGCTCGTGGATCGTCTTCCATTGCACAGTTGCCAACATTTTAGATAAAACCACAACCTGAAAAGTGAAAGCTGCAGATCTCAGCTGTCACCAAGAGAATTTCCCTAACTTTCTACCAAAACAACCTCCGCCATCTTGCACGGTCGGCTGTCATTTTCCGGAAGCATGCGATAATTTAGAGTTATCTCCCTTGTTTTTCTCAGTTTGTCATCAGTTATATTTCTATTTTTGCTGTTGATATTTCTGTTAGGCAGTTCAGTTTTCGACGAATGGCTCATTAAATGTGCATTGTGTAGTATCTTTGCTTTCGCATATCACAAATGCCTGCACATGACTATTGGTAAGCCCTCAGGAAGAAAAAAAATCATTAATCATATATTTTTAGAGACAAAAATAAAAGTTTAATTAATTTTGTATTGCCCAACAACAACAAACCAAATTTAAAGAACGTTCAGGACTTCAAACCTCACACTGCCAAATTATGAACTCAGCATTGCTCCATGGAAATCTTGACAGATTAATAACATAAAAATATAAAAAAATTGGTGCCAAATTAGGCATGAAACAAAATGATTGAAAGATTTAGTGTCAGCTGATATTCTGGGTTTGGACGGTGAAGATATTTTTTCATGTGTCGTTTTCTTTACATGTCTAATCAATTCCAGATAATAATGTAGCTATGGCCTCATGTTTTGTGCATGGATGCATAATTATTGTGAAATATTTCCACTTGCACTTTAGTGACTCTGTTCATGTCATTTTCAAATGAACTGTCTTTTAGAGACATGGTGAAACTCAACAATTACAAGTTCATATGTAAGGTCATGACGTATCATGTAGCCGAACATTCCAAAGAAATCCATAGAGACCTTCAAATTATACTAAAGCATAAATGCAGGCAGCATTCGAAATAATCGCCGTCCCAGAGGCCCAGTGCCGGTTGTTATTGTATCAGGCCGGCAGTTTCAAATATTTGCAGGCCCTTGTCCATATTCCTTGATGCATGTAAAGTCTGATGTGAGGTGACAGGGAAAGGGGTTTTAACATTGTATTCACCTTTATTGCACTAAGAAAGTCATGTGCATTGGGGTGGGTGGGGGATGTGTCTGTTAAAGTACTAGTCCACTGAGATACTATGCCACAATTTAACATGAATAGCCCATTCAGACACAATTTGCAAAACCAAGCAAATACGTCCTGGGCTAAGCTCCTTGATGCTAAGTGAGTGAGGGAGTTTAGTTTGACACCGCTTTTAGCAGTATTACGACAGGGGACACCAGAAATGGGCTTCACAGATTGGGGAATCAAACCCAGGTCCTTGGTGTGACGAGCGAATGCTTTAACCACTAGGCTACCCCACCCCTCCCTTGATGCTAAGTATCTGGTAGGGTAACACCATCTTGTAACATCTTTTAGTAGAGACACAGCTAGGGGATTTCACCAACCAACTTTAGAGCAGACACTCTATCCACTAACCATGGAGGCAGTCTTAGTGATGGGAGATGGTAGCTTCACAATAATGGTAGCAGGCTGGGAGTGTATCAGTACTGGGTATCTTCCCAACAGAATGAAGATACAATCAAGGAAATAGGATGTCATGTTCAAGATGCCATCATGCACACACCTGGGCCCAGTTCCAAAAAGCAATCTTAGTGCTGTGATGATCGTAAGCCCATGTTAAAGTTTTGGAATTGGGTCACCTCAGCGCTAAGATCACTTTGTGGAAAGGGACCCTGATGTCAAATATTTATGTCAGAGAAAGCACCATACTTTTGTTCGAACTCAAACATTGTTATGTTTGTTGACCTGTAAAAGTCAGATCTATATCACATAGGGAATATGCCATTGATCAGTCTTACATAAACAATCACTCGAAAACAGTTAGTGAAAAAATATTTTATTTTGTATAGCTATATACATACATGACAGATCACATGTATAGTGATAACAGTAAACAAACTTGAAATCTCAATGATATCCAATGTTTGTCATCTCGACCATTGGGTTCTAGTAAGAGATTTGCTAACATCAACAACAACCATGTTTATTGATCCTCTCTGGCCTTTATAGACATCAACCTTGCTTCACTGGGATGTATTTTCAATTTTATGCATGAAAAGAGACTTCAGACAGCGCGAGTGAGAATTTGGTTTAGTGATGCTTTGAACAGTATTCCAGTCATATCATGCTATGTCACCTTTTTTTTTCGAGGAAAATCTGAAGTGATTCAGGCCTAAGACATACCACCACATACCACGAGGGGGGACACCAGAAATGGGCTTCACACATTGTACCCATGTGGGGAATCGAACCCGGGTCTTCAGCGTGACGAGCGAACGCTTTAACCACTAGGCTACCCCACCGACCTATTGTTCAACCAACAACTGAAAGAGGACTGCATTTGATTTCAGACAAACTCAACAACAGTTGAATCTACAGTTTACCACTACATAAAAAACACAGTATGTTTACCTCTTAAATTACTCACTGATATGATGTTGCAAAAAAGATCAATTATTTCAATTCTCAAAGTCGGCCATCTGATCAAAGGGAAACAACTCTGTAGGGAATGATGAGTCTCTTCGCCTGTACATGTAATAGCTGTGGAAGGCTTAGCAAGATAATTGTAACATTAAAACTAACTAATTGTAATTACAGAAAGTGTTCCATAATCAGTATTCTCAGTTTCAGCATATGTGCTTAAAATCACCACTGTACCATGTGTTTCAAATCTTCAAACAGCATAGCTGATGATCCTGTACCAGTGAGCCGTTGAGATCTCTGACTACTCTCACACTAACACAAAGACACTTCAACTTGTTTGTTTTCTGTTTAACAGCACATTCAAACAATACCTCTGCTGTATGACCGCAGTCTGTAAATAATCAAATCGGGACCAGACAATCCAGTGATTGATATCCTGAGCATCAATTGGATACAATGATATACACTACCCACATCAGCAAGTCTGACCACTCACCAAGGTTACATCTACAACCAATCTACATGATGACAACCCGGTGAAGATCAACCAATCCACATGATGACAACCCGGTGAAGATCTGGGTTAGAATCCAGTTAGAATCTTCAGTAACCCATGTTTGTCGTAAGAGGCGACTAACAGGATCGGGTGGTCAGGCTCACTGATTTTGTTGACATCGCATCCCAATTGCATAGATTGATGCTCATGCTGTTGGTCACTGGATTGTCTGGTCCAGACATATAGCTGGAATATTACTGAGTGTGGCGTAGAACTTAACTCACTCACTCACTCCACATGATGACAATTCCTACGCCAAAGCAGATGGAGAGAAGACAGGGTATTTGGGGGCAGAGATAATTTCACCTCTCAAGAAACAGTTCTTTATTTTACCCAACATTTCAAAAGAATTGTGTCTTGGATCAAAACACTCTACTGTTGGGCTGTTGGAGAAATCTTCCGAACCAGTAAACCTTTCCATGGAGCAAAACACATCCCATACACTCTGTCTGGAAATGGCCCACTTCCTTACAGTCACTTGTTTCAGGGTGAAACACTCTCAGGTTCTTGGTGAACTTGCAACACAGGTAGATACTGCTCCCCAAGGTCAAGGCAAAGTTGACATTGGAGCTGATTGGTTGGCTTATGGTGATGAATGACCAATCATGTGTAGTGAGATTGTACTGCTGAATCTGTGTTTTAAAGACGTAGATGTTGTTGTTACAGACAGTGACTGATGCAGAGAACTCAGGCTGAAGCATGGGAGGATGGTCTGACCATTCATCTGGAACAGGAGAGTGAGTGAAAACATATGACACAACAATTCCAATGCTCTTGTAATATACATGTACTGGGGTACTACTGAAAGGATATTAGGGACTGTTCATAATTTATGGCTAGGTGGGGAGGGATGATGATTTATTTATTTATCTTTATTTTATTTTATTTTTTATTTTTTTGGGGGGGGGAAATTTTGTCTACATATGTACATCACAAACTATTTTAAAATTGAGGGAATGTGTGTGTGTGTGTGGGGGGGGATCATTGATTTTGTACATGACATGCAGGGTGGTCACTTACATTATACATAAATTTTAGGGGGGTTCCTTCACATTGTACATGCTTCTCCATAAATATCATCACCCCCTAGCCATAAATTATGAACTGACATTTGTAGAAAAAAATATCTTTTCACATTGCAAGTTACTATTTAAAAAGTGTAAATGTTATTGCAAATAAATAGTTTATTATTCCCAGTGAAAACATAACTTAAGGAGTCAAGATTAGGAAATATCTTCAGCACATATCAAGGAACCTGTGAAGAAGACCCGGGTTAGATTATCTTCAGGGGAGAGAAGAAATCCCATTCAGGATTTAAACCCACACTCACAGATTAAGGCACCTAATCGTCAGCATGACACAGCATATGCTGCACTTGACCACTTTCTAAAATGAATTCAAGGATATTTTGCTTTACGACTGTGTTCAAGCAAAACCTTTGGCTCCAATCATGACAATTAACATATTCCTCTGTGTCCTACCCAAAGTCTGTAGTCCATTTAGTAACAACTGATAACTAATCAGTCAACTATTTTCTTTCTTCCTTTTTTTAAAACACAAATCACCTGTAAATATGTTGGGATGTATTTATCAATCAGCAGTTAGCCATTATTACAGTTAAAATGGATGACATATCACACAAAGTTGGGTGTCAATAAGTTCGTATCACCTGTTTCAACATCAAAACTTTCAACAACATTGAGGATCTTCCGGAAGCGGCCAAATCCTCCCAGTAGAAACAAATGTCTGCGGTCAACTGCACAAGCTCCATGGTGTCTCCGTGGCTGACGGAGAACTTTCTTGCAGCACCATCTACGGGTGAAGCAGTTGAACGCCATCATTGTCATCTGCCACGTGTTCCTCCCCAAGACAGCCTCCCCACCACTTACAAACACCTCCTTGTCTGAAACAGTGGACACAATGGAGTGAGTGAGTGATAATTAAATGATATTTCAACCCTAAAGCCACAAGCAAACCAGGCCTTAAGTGAGTGAATATAAGTTGTATGCTTCTCTCGAGGGTAATGCAGTCTGATGTGCACCTCTTTGTAGCAGTGTCACCCGAGCAGGTAGGCGAGGGATGACACTGCTACAAAAAGGCGTACATCAGATCGTATTACCCGACTACATGACATGGAAACAAAATGGCATCTGCCTCTCGACTGGATCTTTTAAATCAGTGAAACATATTCTGACAAGCATAAAACTGCTATAAAAATGGTTAATTATGTTTAAGTTGAGTGTGCAAACGACTCAATGTATGAAATAGGTTAAATAAAGCAGTGAAAGTCGGTAAAATAAATCTGTACAAAGTGAACTCAAAAACAGCTGATCAAACGGTTTTCGAACTCTGTCCGCTGCATGCATCATATTATGACATCATACGATTGCTAGCGATACAGCTTCTCAGCAGAGAGTCTGGCGGTTACCGTGGCAGTGGGTAATATTTTTCCAGTTGTCACCCTCCTGGGAGGGGTGACACGGAAACTTGTTAAAGCGTCATTGACCAATGAAATTAAAATATTTCACATAAAGGTAAGATAATTTGGTGTGTCACAGCCTTGAGCATTATTCCAGTAACATAACACTTTTATTAACAGTATTTCAGATTATCGTGAGGTGAGGTGAAATGGGGTTTAACTTCGTACTCAAGAATATTTCAGCTCATGTGACGACTTACATGTATGTGTATGTGCGGCTGCTTGTACTAGCCCAGACTTAAGCTGGTTTTATAGTGTTAGCCCACTGAGATACCATGCCGCAGTTAAGCATGAATACCCCGCTCAGACACATTATACTGACTCGAGCTGACCAGTCCGTGTTGTACCTATTAATGCTGAGCGCCAGGCAGGCACCAACAAGTAACATATTTTAACGTCTTTTGGTATGATGTGGCCGGGGATCGAACCTGCAACCTTCCCCTCTCACCACTATACCACAGAGGCGGTCATCTGTGAGAGGAAAGCTCGGAGTGATTTGGTCTCAGACATTTACAACTTTCATGAAGCCAAATAGCACAGGTATATTGCTTTATGTAAAGGATTAGTTGTTAAGCCAATTCATATCTTCAGTCATTGCAATTTGCAGGAATTAATGAACACACTGGGCTGTGTATCCTGTATTACATAGACAGTTAGTTTCAGCCTGTCAGCTTTAACAACATTCCCTGGTAGATTGTACAAGATACCCACCGACAAGTGTAACTTGACAACCAATCATCTTGAGAGCAGTTTCACCAAGCTCGGAGTTGTCATCGTTAGTGAGGGATTCTACTGAGAAGGTGCACTTGTCTTGAGAGAACCACAGCATTTCCCTCGCGGCGGAGTTCCCCTCACATTGGTCAGGTTTTGCACATTCTGATGATGAACAAACATGGCCGCCAAAACACATGATGGCAGTTGGAGACATTCTCTTATTTGCTTGATCATGCTGAAGAAGAAATCATATATTTACTAATAGCATGATGATACAAAGCAGTTTTCCAAGCAATGCAAATAAATAACAATTATCATCATTACCAAGGATTTATAAAGTCCTGTAAACATAATCAGTAAGGCTTTAACGATTCACTCACATATTCGCTGAATCGAACCGTAGCCCTTCATGAATTCAATTCATTATTCGTGGTCACCAGAACCGAATATTAACGAATATTTACGATTTTTTTAAGGGAGCATGTTTTACTTGAACCCTTATGTCCTTTCCAAAGTGAGATATTCAAGAATGGAACATGTACTAGCATTGCAGTAGTGCAAATCATGTTAGTTTGCCAAGACTTCACATGGTACTGTCGACTATAACTATTACATACCAAATTTGAGTGTCATGAGATCACTGGTTATTGCTGTGACAAATCAAAACTGTCAACATGGACGTTCCATATTGTATATCAATCACTTAACTACAATATTGTATTCGTGAATAATTATTCGTATTCGTTACCAAAATAAATTATGCGTATCATATTCGCCACATAGTGTATTCGTTGCAGCCCTAATAATCAGGCAAACTGGGATTGAAACCCAAGACTCATGGTAACTGGAACATCTAAGGGATGCAACTCTGCATGGACAAGTACAGCATTTTAAACGATTGGGGAACTATGTCAGATAACAATGTACCAACCTTGGCAGCTGGTTTATTTAGCATTTTCTGTTTCTGTAATGCAGCATAATCAGCCACTAGTCGTCTAGCATCTTCATTGGCAGCCACCTGAGGGTGCTGAAGCAGTTTCTGTACCTGCTGGTCACACAGCATGTCAAAATACACACACTTCTTCAACAGCTCAGAGAACTTGGTACTTGGGACAGCTGCTTCATTGTCTGAAGTGGGAGGGTCACTGAACTGATCTGGACCAAAACTGTCCACTTTGGAACTACAATCTGTCACAGAAACAATTATGTTGGAATCCTGAATCACCTCTTTGGGATCAGATTGAGAGGAATTGCACTGGTCCATCTCATTCAGATCGTGTTTACTATTCGCATCTAAGGATTCAGACGGAGTATTAGGATTGCAGGATATATTTTGTTTGTACCATTTGCAAAGCACATCAAACACTAGCCATTCATCAGTGCAGTGAAGAGCATTGTGGGAAAGGTAGTCAATGATCTGTGGCTCCGTGAGATCATAGACTTCCTCTTCTCGGGCAACATTTTCAAAGTACCACAAAGAATGTGTCTTTGCCTTGTGGAACAGTTCTGATAGAGAGAACATGTCTGCCATCGTCATGACAGTCAGACAGTTGGAATGGTTTAAGGAATGGCCAAGAAACTCACAACACGATTCCAATACTTCTTGGAATTGGTACACTACAGAAGCTTCTGTCAAGTCAAACACATTTTCTTCTGTGATCAGCAGAGGGGAGTTCAAAGAATCCACCAACAACTGAATCACATCTGCTTTGGCTCCTTTCAATTCAATTAGAGTTGAAGAACTTTCTTTCATATGACTTGCAAACATCCCTTGGAAATAGTCACTTTTTTCAATCAGAAGATGTTTTTGACATTTTATTTGAGTTTCATTCACTTGTAGAATGATGTCCCCATTCATTATTGCAGGACTTGAACGTTCCATGTTGACATCTAAGTCTTCTCCCCTCAACATCTTTCTTCCATTGTAGTTAGCTGAAAATACATTATCCCATAATGATGATAAATGAATCAGTTTAACACCATCTAAACAAGTATGTCAGTCACCACCCAGTTTGTCTGCTTAATTTAGAGATTTCAACATATCACCAACATATTCCAACACTTCTAAGAGACACAACACTCTTGATGGATGACCAGGGCTCGAAAATTCCACTCGTCCGCTCATATTGACAAGTACAATTTGTTTGGGGCAAGTGAAAAACACAATTTGCTCGTCCTAGAACACGAGTGCATTTTCTGACCCAACTATTTTTCAAAACAAAAAGTTTAAAGGTCACATGCCACCAAAAAATCAAACATAATTAAAACACAATTATCACTTATTCATGACATATAATATACATTGCTGATTATGAAAAAAACTATAAACAAAATTATAAGCGTACAATCGCAAATCAAAAGTGCAATATTTTGTACTTGGGTTTACTTCCCAAGAAACGAAGCAGCCGGGATACCGAACCCAGTCAGAGCGGGTTGGTGTGCACTCAAGTGTAATGGATGGTTCATTTGCAGATGCCCTCATGGCTCATTGTGTGTGTATATATAGAGATGTTGGGTTTTGTAAATAAATGCTCATTTTTTGTGTATAACATTTTGCAATCAACAGACATCATAACATGTCATTTGTACAAGTATCACAACTGCCTGTCTGTGTAATTACATAATGTGGCAGAGACCGAACTCGGGCCATAAATCAATGCGTTTTGTTTATGGTGTATAGCCTGATAGGTGTTAATTTAAAATTGCATGTGGTCAGTGCTCGAAGTTGTGTATTGAATTATATTGTCATTAGCAGACAGGCAGGCAGACACATAGGTATCAATAAAACAGACATTGAGTTTTGTCTGTGACAACGACATATCTATATCACAGTTAGAAATTCTGTCAATGCTAAATAATGACATTGCTTTTAAGTATCGAACTGAGAAATTGACTCAGTAAGAAGAATGTGTGGTGAAATAGACAAATGAAATTATATAAACAGTTAAATCGGTAATCTACTGTCATAACATATAAAAAGCTCGCGCCTTTGAAATATCAACAAAACATTAGAAAAATAGCTCACACCAAAGCCTTCACTGAGTATTCACCGGACAACCCACTTCCAAGCTGCGCGAACCTATTTCACTGTGCATGTGCTATGAGCGTAACCCAGCGCAGTGCAGCCAAGCTGTTGAAACCACTTTTTCCCCCAATCGCTGGGGGAAAATTAGTGAATCGTTTGAACTCCAATTTCGAGCGGGTTTTTTCATCGCGTAATTTTTAAACTTTATAAGTTGAATTTGCATTTTTGATGATTTGTTTCGGTAAGTCCATACCGAAAGGTATCAGAATCTGCAAAGTTGTGTTTTACGTTGCATGTGACCTTTAAGTTTTAACATCGTCATTCCCGATTAGCAGTATATTCAAATTCCCGAAAACTAACCATAAAGTTTAAGTCTTGATGCGTTTGGTATCCATTTTAACAAATATCATGCAGCGTGGTTTTGTACAGGTTACCTAAATGCCTCGTATATCATGTTTGGCTGCTATTAATAAACTGACCAATGAGATAAATCAACACAACATGAATGTTACCGCTGTCAAGTCAGTATAAGCTTTATAATAGGGAATTCCCTGCTTGTTATTACCGATCGTTTATCATAGTCAACTTTTTGTTTGGGTGATGATTTGTTTTTATTATTATACAAAGATAATTTCCAGGTTAGATAAAATACTTGATATATTTTACCACATACACAGGGCTCCAGATAACTTTTGGGGGTGCGATTGTACTTACACATCATATTGCAAGTGGAGGTGTACTGAGAATTTTGAAGGAGTACTGACATGTTTTTGTGTGAGCGAGTTGGTGATGTCGTTTGTCTGGACGATCATCGATCACTATTTCCAACCATGTATTTGTCTTTGAAGACGCGTGAGAAATAACTGAGCGACTGTGTGATGCGCGAAATGTCAGGTCCGATATAAACAGGAACAGTGTAGTATTTAGCCAATCGAAAAATAGTGACGCATATCGTTGCATGGCAACGCAATGATTCCTACTGTCGGGGTTTCCTCATGTGTCAAATCGTGTTTCGCAAAAGAAACTTGACAAGTATTTATCCGAAATAGATTTCCATTTGCACGATACGCAAGGAAACTAAATGTTAGACGTACAAAGGTATTTATGTGCGTACACGATACGCTTGAAATCTTATATTATGTCGTACTTAATTGATTTTGAGGCGTATATTACGCCCGTACACCCCTTATCTGTAGCCCTGCATACACTAAACTAACAATTAGATTAAACAAAGATTTTGTACAGAAGACAAAGTAGGTAATGTTTATTGTAGTTTTATTCCAAGCAAACATTTTGAAATAAAATAATTTAAACTTACATTCATTGTGTTGCATGATCTATAGGGCAAGTACAATTTTAGAAGGACAACTGGAAAGTTCACATTACTCGCCAGATTTTTGAATTTTGCGAGCCCTGATGATGAACCAACATATTGATGTACGTCTCTCAGGTTAGAGGAAACAGTATCAGGTCAAGATCTTTCACAGCTTTCTGGCCTGAACCCATTGTCTTAAAGTATAATGTGGCAAATTTTCAGTCCATTCTCTGTAAAAAAAAACTTTCTTTGTTTATCAACCGTTCAACCCAGACTTGTCATGACAAATTCCTGGTTGTCTTGAAGTCAATCTATGCAACCATAAAATAAAACTTATACACGGAGAAGTTAAACTCCATACGGTAAGACTCCCGCCTGTATCCCCCCTAAATACACTCACTTCAACCACAGTATCATTTAAAAAATGAAGCTATAACAGACTTGTAGTACAAGTTGTAAAACAGAGAATGAGTAAGATGGTTTAGAACTTCATTCACCTTTATAGAAACAATGTTAAAACTTCGTCTGAGATGAGTACAAAGTACCTTGAGTACCTCCTGCATATCTTTGGGGTGAAATGGAAAGGGGTCAGAGCAATAATCTACTGAAGGCTCTATTAACACCAATATTGACACGAAAGTCTGTTAAATTCGTGGCGTGAAGCGCATTCAGTAGAAGCAAACAGCTAAATTATGAGGCATTACCGTTACTGTCAGGAAAAGTAGGATCTCACCACGATGTTTACACAGGTTCGTCTTACAGAGTTGTTTACAAAACGTGTGTCAGTCAACTTACCTACAGGCGGAGCGGGCATCTATCTAGTCGATTTTTCACAAAAATTGGCGAACGTGAGTGTGTCTGTCCCGTGGGTTTAGTATCCAAGGGACGTAACTCTAAACACGAACTTTACCCCAATTTGTCCATGGGCATTGTACACAATAAATTTGTCGGATTTTATTAATCAGGCAGCCACATTCATAGTGATAATTCCTGCAATGATAAGGGGTGGGAATACTAGTGTCGTCCCATGTACACATTGTACATGTTATGATGGTTTGTCTTTTTTAGACTTGTCTCTTATGAATGAGCGAGATCAGAGAACGATGTATGGTCTGTGGTGATTTTATTTTTTTCCTTGTTCGTTTGACGTGATTGCGCGAGTAACAACGCTTCAGTGAGTGAGTGAATGTAGTTTTACGTCGCTTTTAGCAATATTCCAGCAATATCACGTCGGTGGACACCAGAAGTGGGCTTCACATATTGTACCCATGTGGGCAGTCGAACCCGGGTCTTCGGCGTGACGAGCGAACGCCTTAACCACTAGGCTACCCCACCGCCCCTACAACAACGCTTCAGCATCACATCTAACACATAATACAAGTATCGATATCTAAAAAAGTTTGAATAAATGTAGTTTTACCTTTCTCTTTTAACACAGTCCTCGATGTGTAAAGGTACGAAACGGACAGCTCGTTGCTGTATATCAGCTGGGCACACAAGCGGATACATCTAACTGCGAGGTTAATTAAACAGCTTAAGGTATTACATAAGAAAACATCTCAAAATACAGGATAAAAAAACACCTCAAAATATTAGATAAGTAAAAATCTCAAAGTTTCAATTAAGAAAGCATTTCAAGAACAATACTCATTAATATGAAAAAGTATAATGTATGGCCATTATGACATTTTCTATGGCTATTTTGACAGTACTCCAACTGTTCTGGCTGAGAAGTTCGCTACATTCTTTCAGGACAAGATACATCGGATTAGAACTAATCTTGATACAGGATACAATCAAACTAGCTCCACTTCTAATGAAAGCAAGTTCTCTGGTAATGTGCTTCGGCGAGCTTTGGACATGTTTCTGTCAACCTTGTACTGGATATTATGAAGAATGCACCATCTAAATCTTCGCCACTGGATCCCATTCCTACCTGGATGTTCAAAGTCCAAGTGCTATACCTATTTAGCACCTGAAGTATGGGACATTATGATCTCATCTCTCCTCTGGCACTGTTCTGAGTGTTTTTAAACATGCGATTGTCACACCAGTTCTAAAGAAACCTGGAGCTGATGAAAACAATTTGAAACAATTTCCGTCCAATCTCCAACCTTTCATTTGTATCCAAATGTTTAGAGAAAGTGGTCGCTGGCAAGCTGAAGGTACATCTTGAGGCAAACCACCTTGCAGAGTCGTTCCAGGCGGCCGACAAGACATCTCATAGTACGGAGACAGCTTTGGTGCGAATCCACAATGATATCCTTCTCAATATGGGTCAGAAGAAGGTGACAGCGCTTGTGCTCCTTGATCTTTCCAGCGCATTCGATACCATAGATCATACCTTACCCTTGCATCGACTTAAAAAAATCACATTGGGGTAACAGGAAATGCGCTGAATTGGATCTCTTCATATTTACGAGGCCGCACACAATCTGTCAAAATCGGAAATGTTTAATCATCAAAGTCACCATTGTTATATGGTGTTCCCCAGGGATCAGTTCTTGGCCCCCTTCTGTTTACAGCCTACATTCTCCCCATTGGTGACATTATCAGGCGGCATTTCATTGGTTTCCACATATATGTGGATGATACGCAACTCTACATTGCCTTTGAATCAGACGATGTTTCACTGTATATCAACAAACTTGAGCTATGCATTAATGAAATCAAATTGTTGATGACCTCCAACTACTTGAAGTTGAATGAGGAGAGGACTGAGTTCCTTCTCATCGGCTCCAAACATCAGCTTATAAAGTTGAAGACTGCTTTGCCATCACCTTCACTTCGTATTGGTGACACAGACATCCTACCATCAGAAAGTGCCCGGAATCTTGGTGTGATCCTTGATTCCAACATGTCCATGGTTGCACACATCACATCCATCAGTGGAGCCTGCTACTACAACATCCATAACATCAGCAAAGTCCGCCACTACCTTGATACTGGCACTTCTGATGCACTGTCTTGTCACTTCCAAACTCGACTACTGTAATTCACTATATGCCAACCTCTCAAATAAATCACTCCAGAAACTTCAAAGAATCCAAAATTCTGCTGCCAGATGTATCCTTTTATATAGTACTAGGGTAGGGTCTATATACCTATATGTCTTTCTAACGCTGTTTCTAAGCGTGACACGCCCCTGTGCTATAGACAACTATTCTTAACACATTGCCTACGGTCAAAGATAAGAATTCTTAGGGCTATGAACATTTCGAGAATAAAGGCCCAGGTCTGTTTTGGACGTCCTCTTTTCCTCTTGCCTTGTTGGGTCCAGTCAGCCTTTTATATAGTACTAGGGTAGGGTCTATATACCTATATGTCTTTCTAACGCTGTTTCTAAGCGTGACACGCCCCTGTGTGTGTATGTACCTCAGCGAAGTCTCCGATCCTCCTCTGGCTCTCTCCTAACCCAACAGATCTCCAAAGAAACTGTCTGACCGAGCCTTCTCCTGTGCCAGCTCTAAACTGTGGAACTGTCTTCCAAAGGAAACCAGGAAAACTTCATCGAAAGAAACTTTTAAATCTCTGCTAAAGATCCATCTATTCACTGCTGCCTTTCTGTAAAGTAATATGAACTATTTCCTTCCCCAATATTGTCACAGCGCCACTGAGCATCTCTATGGTGGATATTAGGCGCTTCACCTCACCTCACCTCACCTCACCTCACCTGTCTGTCTGTCTGTCTGTCTGTCATATCAGTGGAGTTACTTATTTATATGTAGATGGCTATCAGTGGTCGAGTGTTGGACCTAGGACCACAAAATGAAAACTTTACGTTATTAAACTCATAACGTCATGCAAACATTTTTATTTGGTGTCCCCTACAAACTCATTAAAACATATAATATACCGAAACACTATTTCCCCTGTTACGTTTTTCGCAAATGAATCTCTTCTTTACTTTCATAAAGATACAAACTGAGCTCAGTCTCCACAGCCCTAAACGCGAACGAGGACGGGAACCAGTTCATATCTTTTTTGTAATCTCGCGTAATAGATACTTCACGAGACTCGGTGTCTAGACCTTGACGACCGTTGCTCCACATTGATGTCAAATTGACGCCATTGTTATTGCCGCGTTACTTCGCATTTCTGAAAGCTATCTATTCGCTCCCTTTGTTGTGTTCTTGAACCTGCCACCATGAGTGCGAGCGCTTACGTTCAAGGTACAACTCTAATTGCTTTTTTAGCTGTTTTAATCCCTTTCAATATAAGTCCAGGTGAAGTCACAGTGAAGCCTACGGGCTCCTTTGCTTTTGAACCTCTACACAACACTTGACGGTCACTTTCAAACATCTCTATCATCAATTATTGCAAAATTCACAACTGTGCATAGCAGAAGTACCGACAAATTACATTGGGCCTGACATTATAGCCCACGTTTCACATGAACTTACCTGTGATTGTTTGTGTCGTATAACAACGCATGAATAATATAAAAAAACAACATTCTACAATGATAGACTCGGTGTTTAGAAAGATTTGTGTAAGTACGAGGTAACAATTTTGGCTTCATGGATAATGCTATATATGGTTTTGGTTGGTTTTGAGAAATCACCCAGGGGACAAATGTTTTATTAGAAAGTACTGTGCTAACAATTTAATTCTGAATTATTTTCTATGTAAGGCCACAGTTTGTTTTGTGCAATGACTGTTGTACTTGTACTCATATATCCTTCTTTCTCTCCACAGTTGATCGGATGATGTGGTTCCCCCTGCCTCTGCCCCCCTTGCCTTGTCCTGCCCCTTGTCCAGTAGGTGTAGGGGACTGTTATTATGTATACCCTTAGTGTTTAGTAATGCATATTGGGTTTTTAGTATTATGGACTGGTGATAAGAGCTGGTATACTGGTTGTGGTCGACACTGAACATCCTCAACCAACACTAAAGATGACACACTTCCCAAACGGAAAAAGAACCTATATTGTCATATAATCTAGTTCTAATTCCGCTAACTGGGTGCACCAATATTAACTGCCTCCCTGTATACTCAGTCAGGGAGTCATATGTCTCAATGTGGTATCACAGGTATCTCAAAGAATATCTAACGGTACACCTACAGAAAACCGGATACCTACCAGCCATATTGTTTAGTGTCACGTGCACTTCCATTATAGGAAAGCACAAGCTATAAAACCTGAAAAAATAAGTGAGCTTGGATTGGGAAAGGCAGGAGCCATGGGCCAGTTTGCACATTAGAATAAAAAATGGCCCATTAAAATTTTGAAGTTTACTATTGATACAAGGGCAGTGGCCCATTCTAAATTCAGAAAATGGCTAATAATCCTGAAAATGGCCCATTGTCAAAGTTCTCTATCCCAATTCCTACGTGAGCATCGAAAAATAACCATTCTAATCGGTTAGTAAAACTAACCAACGATTTTGAAAATGAAACATAATGTCCCTATCTTCCCCTGCTTATATCGGTTCATGGCCGGGAAGGCTAAAATCGTGACGTGATCTTCAGAAGAGTTGGTAAAGTTAAATCGTCAGAACATTGGTTATATATAATGGTTGTGTCCTGAGGTTGTCGATACTTTTACATATTTCGGAATAGTTTTTAATTATAATAACCGATTCTCAAAGGCACAGCTGCAGTTGTCTGACCAGGGAAGGATGGCCCCCTTTTTTAATTTACAATAATATCATGTCGCTCTCTCTCAACCTGGAATCTCTTTTATTTGTCTTTGATTGCAATGGTGGTAGTATACTTTCTTATGCGTCTGAGATATGGGGATATAATAAAGGCTTAAATATTGAAAGGTTGCATTTGGATTTTTGTAAAAGGTTATTAGGAGTTAAGAAATCAACATGTAATTCCATGGTTTATGCCGAGTTAGGTCGTTATCCGCTCGTATTTAAAAGGCAATAAAGCATGATTAAATATTGGTGTACGCTTCCTGTGTCTGAAAATAGCATTTTACGGGGTTGTTATGAGTATTTGTATGAGGAGGTGGAGACCCATGGTGTCAAAAATTGGACGTATCAGGTTAAAAGTATTTTGTCAAACACTGGATTAAGTGAAATATGGTTAAGGCAGGAATTACCACTAGATTATCTAATAGTTATATTACAAAGAAAACATTATCAGGCTATTCAGTTTATCTTTAGTGAGCTGTACTCACCTTCTCCCTTGGAAATTAGCTCTCCCGGGAAATCCGAAATATACATTTTAGCCTTCCCGGGACATCTGAAAAATAAATATTAGTCTTCCCGGCACGACACCGTTATCTCCACCTCTATATCAACTCAGCGCCTTGAGCATGCACTAGTTGCGTGGATATGTGCGCTATATAAATATCCTATAATAATAAATGTGTACTTCTAACCTTTGAAGAAATTCTACTCCACACATGGTTATTTCCAAATCAACAACAAACCATTCGGCCATTCTCCAGTACAGCTATACACCATTCGATCATTCACAATTTCAGGTCATATCTGATTTTCCGCTCTGTCCGTACATTTGTTGTTAAACCTCTTTTTAAACCTAATCGTGTTTGTTTATGCTACGTCTTCAGTTTGACAGTTCCTATAGTTCTGTTCCTGACACATATTTAATTCTGAATTGTAACCTCCAATTGGATTTTTACTTCAGGCCCAGAATCATATATTTGCTTCAATAGCATTCAATGAGTTAAGAACGTTTACTTCTAGTCTACATATTATTCTTTCCTCACATTCCATTCTCTCACAAACCTCCCTATCTATAGCACCCCACTTCAAAGTCCCTGACCATCCCTGCCCACTTGTCACACCTGCCCGTCCCCCAGACCCTTCGCCCCAGCACTGTATCTTCTGTGTCCCTCACCATCGCTGGTCAGTACATCGTGGATGACACCGACTTTGTTGAAGTCGATCTCGGTGATGAGGAGATCATCCAGCCAACCCACTCCTTCCTGAAGGCCTTGCTGTCCAGAGTGGCCAGCTTCTTCAGAAGAATCAAGAGTGTGTTTAAGAAGAAGGACGATTAGGCAGTGAACTCGGAACTTATACATCTATACAAAACATTTATGAGTGATTTTTAGGACTCATGAGGCATTTTTTACGATATTTGGGAAATACAAAAACTTGATCTATATTTGTTTTCGTGTTTTCTTTATGTAAATAAACTATGTTATTTATTCCAAAATGGTGTTGTGTTTTCATTTGTTCATATAGTTTGTTGTTTTCCAAAATGGTGATCAAACATGGAGTTCCTGAGCAGCTGCTACACCTGTTCAGGCACGCAGGTGCACCATGTAAACAGGTGTTGGATCAGGTTCAACGAGCCTTACTCTGGAATGCCAGTAGGATTCCTAACATATCATACACCCACATTCTGAGTAGTTTCTACCCGTGAAGATTGTGGTTAGAATTTGTTTTCAGCAAAGGGATTAATAACATCAGTGGTCAGGCTCAGCTGTAGATCGACGGTCTTGTTGTTGATTACTGGATTGTCTGGTCCAGACTGGATTATTTACAGACCGTCGCCGTAAAACAACAACTAAACAAAACATGACCTCTCTCTATTCTTCATATATAAGGCTTTACTAGGATAATGTACATGTAAGAGTCTTGAGATAGTAGGTTTGGTTAAAGTTTCCTTTGTGCAGTATTTTGCTGGCGGGAAAAGTCCAAAGCATAGCTGTCATAATGTCGAAAAACATTATTTCAGTTATGTATCATGTAAATACTGTTTGTAATGTTTTGGATAAATCAAATGTTAAGGTGTAAAGTTTCTCTCGCCTGACAGTTTACATACCCTAGTTATCCTCCGCATTATGTTAGACTCCGTCCGTGCCAATTCGTCGGAGCAGAACATTAAAACCGTCAAACCAAACTTTGCACATACTTGTAGATAGGTCTGGTGGTGAAGTGGTGCCTTTTGGTAGTTTTGGATTTCTGAATAAGATATTTTGTGAGTTTCAATGGCAACAAGTTTTACTTCGACTGAAATTGGTGGTAGTGCCCTTTTCCGATGCAGGGCCTAGATTTTCGAAGCTCTCCTAGCGCTAAGATTCTTTTAAGTGTCGTTCATTAACATAAACTAACGACTATCTTAGCGCTAAGAGAGCTTCGAAAATCTAGACCCAGCACTCTAACACCGTTCAATGTTTCATCACCAAACTTGGCACATAGATAGGTCTGATAGTGAACCGGTGCCTTTTGGTAGTTTTGGATTTTTAAATACATGTATAATGTTTTTTTGTATTTCCATGGCAACAAGTTTTACTTTGACTGAAATCGGTGGTACTGCTCGTTAAAAAACTTTCAATTTTCTAATTCCACTGTGGGTATTCAAAGAACCTAATGACATAAATCAACAGTACCACTCTATTTCTGTATCAGCATTACTGTGGTACATCAAACCGTGGGAGCACCCGGGCAGTCGTTTGTTGATGCAAGCATGCTAGTACATGAATAGTTTACATATGTATGTTTTCGTTAGATTAATGTGAACAACAATGTAATATATGACATAGTCATGAAGTTGACATATTTATGACGAGCAGTTTACCATTGCGGGGGATATTGATGACCTTGTCTTCTTGTTACACTGGAAGTGAGGTGAGGTGAAATTGGGTTTAACGTCGTGCTTGAGAATATTTCGCTCATATGACGACGTGTATGTGTATGTGCGGCTGCTCTTACTAGCCCAGGCTTAAGCTGGTTTTATAGTGCTAGCCCACTGAGATACCATACCGCAGTGAAGCATGAATACCCCACTCAGACACATTGTACTGACTCCGAGCCGACCAGTCCTTGTTGTACCCATTAATGCCGAGCGCCAGGCAGGGACCAACAAGTACCATATTTTAACGTCTTTTGGTATGATGTGGCCGGGGATCGAACCCGCGACCTTCCCTTCTACCGCACTATACCACGGAGGCGGTAACTTTCATGAAGCCAAATAGCACAGGTATATTGCTTTATGTAAAGGATTAGTTGTTAAGCCAATTCATATCTTCAGTCATTGCAATTTGCAGGAATTAATGAACACACTGGGCTGTGTATCCTGTATTACATAGACAGTTAGTTTCAGCCTGTCAGCTTTAACAACATTCCCTGGTAGATTGTACAAGATACCCACCGACAAGTGTAACTTGACAACCAATCATCTTGAGAGCAGTTTCACCAAGCTCGGAGTTGTCATCGTTAGTGAGGGATTCTACTGAGAAGGTGCACTTGTCTTGAGAGAACCACAGCATTTCCCTCGCGGCGGAGTTCCCCTCACATTGGTCAGGTTTTGCACATTCTGATGATGAACAAACATGGCCGCCAAAACACATGATGGCAGTTGGAGACATTCTCTTATTTGCTTGATCATGCTGAAGAAGAAATCATATATTTACTAATAGCATGATGATACAAAGCAGTTTTCCAAGCAATGCAAATAAATAACAATTATCATCATTACCAAGGATTTATAAAGTCCTGTAAACATTATCAGTTATTAATCAGGCAAACTGGGATTGAAACCCAAGACTCATGTTAACTGGAACATCTAAGGGATGCAACTCTGCATGAACAAGTACAGCATTTTAAACGATTGGGGAACTATGTCAGATAACAATGTACCAACCTTGGCAGCTGGTTTATTTAGCATTTTCTGTTTCTGTAATGCAGCATAATCAGCCACTAGTTGTCTAGCATCTTCATTGGCAGCCACCAGAGGGTGCTGAAGCAGTTTCTGCACCTGCTGGTCACACAGCATGTCAAAATACACACACTTCTTCAACAGCTCAGAGAACTTGGTACTTGGGACAGCTGCTTCATTGTCTGAAGTGGGAGGGTCACTGAACTGATGATCTGGACCAAAACTGTCCACTTCTGGAACTACAATCTGTCACGAGAAACAATTATGTTGGAATCCTGAATCACCTCTTTGGGGATCAGATTGAGAGGAATTGCACTGGTCCATCTCATTCAGATAATCGTGTTTACTATTCGCATCTAAAAAAGGATTCAGGACAATTATTAGGATTGCAGGATATATTTTGTTTTGTACCATTTGCATAGCACATCAAACACTAGCCATTCATCCAGTGCAGTGAAGAGCATTGTGGGAAAGGTAGTCAATGATCTGTGGCTCCATGAGATCATTAGACTTCCTCTTCTCGGGCAGCATTTTCAAAAGTACCACAAAGAATGTGTGTCTGCCTTGTGGAACCAGTTCTGATAGAGAGAGAACATGTCTGCCATAAAACCATGACAGTCAGACAGTTGGAATGGATTCAAAGGAATGGCCGAAACTGCTACAACACGATTCAATACTTCTTGGAGATTGGTACACTACAAGAAGCTTCATGTCCAGAGTCAAGCCACATTTTCTTCTGTTGCATCAGCAAAGGGAGTTCAAGGCTCCACCAGCAACTGAATCACATCTTAGCTTTGGCTCCTTTTCCAGATTCAATTAGAGTTGAAGAACTTTCTTTCATATGACTTGCAAGCATCCCTTGGAAATAGTCACTTTTTTTCAATCAGAAGATGTTTTGACATTTATTTGAGTTTCTAAATTTGCTTGTAGAGATGATGTCCCCATTCATTATTGCAGGACTTGAGCGATCAATATTAACATCTAAGTCTTCTCCCTCAACCTGTTTCTTCCATTGTAGTTAGCTGAGAGAAATACATTATCCCATAATGATGATAAATGAATCAGGTTAGCACCATCTAAACAAATTATGTCAGTCACCACCCAGTTTGTCTTAGCTAAATTTAGAGATTTCAACATATCACCAACAGATTCCAACGCTTCTAGAGACACAACATAGACGATGGATGACCAGAACTCGAAAATTCCCTTTCAAATCGTTTCGTATTGACAAGAATTACAATTTGTTTGGAGGCAAGTGAAAAACACAATTTGCTGGAATCTGCAGAACCAATCAATGCGTTTTGTTTATGGTGTATAGTCCTGATAGGTGTTAATTTAAAATTGCATGTGGTCAGTGCTCGAAGTTGTGTATTGAATATTGTCATTAGCAGACAGGCAGGCAGACACATAGGTATCAATAAAACAGACATTGAGTTTTGTCTGTGACAATGACATATCTATATCACAGTTAGAAATTCTGTCAATGCTAAATAATGACATTGCTTTTAAGTATCGAACTGAGAAATTGACTCAGTAAGAAGAATGTGTGGTGAAATAGACAAATGAAATTATATAAACAGTTAAATCGGTAATCTACTGTCATAACATATAAAAAGCTCGCGCCTGTGAAATATCAACAAAACATTAGAAAAATAGCTCACACCAAAGCCTTCACTGAGTATTCACCGGACAACCCACTTCCAAGCTGCGCGAACCTATTTCACTGTGCATGTGCTATGAGCGCAACCCAGCGCAGTGCAGCCAAGCTGTTAAAACCACTTTTTCCCCCAATCGCTGGGGGAAAATTAGTGAATCGTTTGAACTCCGATTTCGCGCGGGTTTTTCATCGCGTTATTTTTCAACTTTATAAGTTGAATTTGCATTTTTGATGATTTGTTTCGGTAAGTCCATACCGAAAGGTATCAGAATCTGCAAAGTTGTGTTTTACGTTGCATGTGACCTTTAAGTTTTAACATCGTCATTCCCGATTAGCAGTATATTCAAATTCCCCGAAAACTAACCGCAAAGTTTAAGTCTTGATGTGCGTTTGGTATCCATTTTTAACAAATATCATGCAGCGTGGTTTTGTACAGGTTACCTAAATGCCTCGTATATCATGTTTGGCTGCTATTAATAAACTGACCAATGAGATAAATCAACACAACATGAATGTTACCGCTGTCAAGTCAGTATAAGCTTTATAATAGGGAATTCCCTGCTTGTTATTACCGATCGTTTATCAGTAGTCAACTTTTTGTTTGGGTGATGATTTGTTTTTATTATTATACAAAGATAATTTCCAGGTTAGATAAAATACTTGATATATTTTACCACATACACAGGGCTCCAGATAACTTTTGGGGGTGCGATTGTACTTACACATCATATTGCAAGTGGAGGTGTACTGAGAATTTTGAAGGAGTACTGACATGTTTTTGTGTGAGCGAGTTGGTGATGTCGTTTGTCTGGACGATTCATCGATCACTATTTCCAACCATGAATTTGTATTTGAAGACGCGTGAGAAATAACTGAGCGACTGTGTGATGCGCGAAATGTCAGGTCCGATATAAACAGGAACAGTGTAGTATTTAGCCAATCGAAACATAGTGACGCATATCGTTGCATGGCAACGCAATGATTCCTACTGTTGCGGTTTCCTCATGTGTCAAATCGTGTTTCGCAAAAGAAACTTGACAAGTATTTATCCGAAATAGATTTCCATTTGCAAGATACGCAAGGAAACTAAATGTTAGACGTACAAAGGTATTTATGTGCGTACACGATACGCTTGAAATCTTATATTATGTCGTACTTAATTGATTTTGAGGCGTATATTACGCCCGTACACCCCTTATCTGTAGCCCTGCATACACTAAACTAACAATTAGATTAAACAAAGATTTTGTACAGAAGACAAAGTAGGTAATGTTTATTGTAGTTTTATTCCAAGCAAACATTTTGAAATAAAATAATTTAAACTTACATTCATTGTGTTGCATGATCTATAGGGCAAGTACAATTTTAGAAGGACAACTGGAAAGTTCACATTACTCGCCAGATTTTTGAATTTTGCGAGCCCTGATGATGAACCAACATATTGATGTACGTCTCTCAGGTTAGAGGAAACAGTATCAGGTCAAGATCTTTTTCAGTATCACAGCTTTCTGGCCTGAACCCATTGTCTTAAAGTATAATGTGGCACATTTTCAGTCCATTCTCTGTAAAAAAAACTTTCTTTGTTTATCAACCGTTCAACCCAGATTTGTCAAATTCCTGGTTGTCTTGAAGTCAATCTATGCAACCATAAAATAAAACTTACACGGAGAAGTTAAACTCCATACGGTAAGACTCCCGCCTGTATCCCCCCTAAATACACTCACTTCAACCACAGTATCATTTAAAAAATGAAGCTATAACAGACTTGTAGTACAAGTTGTACAACAGAAAATGAGTAAGATGGTTTAGAACTTCATTCACCTTTATAGAAACAATGTTAAAACTTCGTCTGAGATGAGTACAAAGTACCTCCTGCACATCTTTGGGGTGAAATGGAAAGGGGTCAGAGCAATAATCTACTGAAGGCTCTATAATAACACCAAGATTGACACGAAAGTCTGTTAAATTCGTGGCGTGAAGCGCATTCAGTAGAAGCAAACAGCTAAATTATGAGGCATTACCGTTACTGTCAGGAAAAGTAGGATCTCACCATGATGTTTACACAGGTTAGTCTTACAGAGTTGTTTACAAAACGTGTGTCAGTCAACTTACCTACAGGCGGAGCGGGCATCTATCTAGTCGATTTTTCACAAAAATTGGCGAACGTGAGTGTGTCTGTCCCGTGGGTTTAGTATCCAAGGGACGTAACTCTAAACACGAACTTAACCCCCAATTTGTCCATGGGCATTACACATACACAATAAATTTGTCGGATTTTATGAATCAGACAGCCACATTCATAGTGATAATTCCTGCAATGATAAGGGGTGGGAATACTGGTGTCGTCCCAGGTACACATTGTACATATATATATGTTATGATGGTTTGTCTTTTTTAGACTTGTCTCATATGAATGAGCGAGATCAGAGAACGATGTATGGTCTGTGGTGATTTTATTTTTTTCGTTGTTCGTTTGACGCGATTGCGCGAGTAACAACGCTTCAGTGAGTGAATGAATGTAGTTTTACGTCGCTTTTAGCAATATTCCAGCAATATCACGTCGGGGGACACCAGAAATGGGCTTCACATATTGTACCCATGTGGGCAGTCGAACCCGGGTCTTCGGCGTGACGAGCGAACGCCTTAACCACTAGGCTACCCCACCGCCCCTACAACAACGCTTCAGCATCACATCTAACACATAATACAATTATCTATATCTAAAAAAGTTTGAATAAATGTTGTTTTACCTTTCTCTTTTAACACAGTCCTCGATGTGTAAAGGTACGAAACGGACAGCTCGAATATTACCGCGAAGACAGCTGCATATTTTTTATGACCATGGAAAAAGTCAACATGGCCATACATTATTTTTAATTTTTGTAATACTCATAACATTTCCCCATGTTGCATTAATTGATATCAAGGTGTAAAAATGACAAAAGAAGTTATACAAAACTTTATGTTTATCACACATCAAGAAATCATATTTTCAACAAATAACAAGACGTATGGGTTCTTTCTTCATGTTCATGCACTTTTGTACTATGTACTACGACATGACATCCATGTAGATCAGTTATATCAGAGACCATAATATTATATATGGTCTCTGGTTACATCAAGTCAGAAACAGTTCATTCCACTGGTCCAGTCAGCTGGGCACACAAGCGGATACATCTAAAAGTAGTAATTAAAGAAACACTGCGAGGTTAATTAAACAGCTTTAGGTATGAAATAAGAAAACATCTCAAAATACAGGATAAAAAAACCCACCTCAAAATATTAGATAAGTAAAAATCTCAAAGTTTCACATAAGAAAGCATTTCAAGAACAATACTCATTAATATGAAAAAGAATAATGTATGTCCATTATGACATTTTCTATGGCTATTTTGACAGTACTCCAACTGTTCTGGCTGAGAAGTTCGCTACATTCTTTCAGGACAAGATACATCGGATTAGAACTAATCTTGATACAGGATACAATCAAACTAGCTCCACTTCTAATGAAAGCAAGTTCTCTGGTAATGGGCTTGAAAGCTTTGGACATGTTTCTGTCAACATTGTACTGGATATTATGAAGAATGCACCATCTAAATCTTCGCCACTGGATCCCATTCCTACCTGGCTGTTCAAGTCTGTGCTATACTATTTAGCACCTGCAGTATGGGACATTATGAACTCATCTCTCTCCTCTGGCACTGTTCCGAGTGTTTTTAAACATGCAATTGTCACACCAGTTCTAAAGAAACCTGGAGCTGATGAAAACAATTTGAAAAATTTCCGTCCAATCTCCAACCTTTCATTTGTATCCAAATGTTTAGAGAAAGTGGTAGCTGGCAAACTGAAGGTACATCTTGAGGCAAACCAC